GATTTGCTGTTGAAACTTCGCCCTTGCATGACGGTTCGGCATTTTCTGTTGGGCGCATGCCAAACACCGTCGACACCAGTCTTCTACAGTCTCCGGCATCTTATTCCAATAAAAGCGACCCTTCAGCTTTTCGTACGTCTTATTAACCCCAAGATGTCCTCCAGTTGGGCTGTTAAACTTGTAAGGATCTCCGTTTGCAACTCTGATGAAACAACCACCAAGAAATGGCAGTCTCGCCCGTGTCATCCTCCCATCTCTTGTGTAGAACACCGTTCCTCATGCATAACTGGTCCCAGGCCCCCCAGAGAGTCTTTAACCCAGCGCCTTCTACAGAGATATCGCGCCAAGTCTTTTCCAGATTCCAGTGAGTGGTTTGTTTTACTGTAAACTTGTAAGGTAAAAGAAAGGATTCTAGAGGGGGTTTGTATCAACAACAAATAAAGATAAAGTTACAGACTCACAGAAAAGAAATTATCTGATTCAGGAAAACAAACTCAAAACTTCAAAGGTAGATTCGGACTGACGTGAAAAACCATTTAAAATAAATCCATTTGAAATGCTGTCAACTAATTGGCCGAGCAATTACTTTGTGCCTAAACTAAACAACACATCAAAACGTCCGTCACTGAATACGCTTGTATGAAAACACAATCAAGCTACTCCTAAATTCAGTGCTCAATTAAGCGTAGAATCCCATGTGAGATTACCAAACAAATCTCTAAAAATTTTTGCTGTTTTGATTATTTTAATTTAGGCTCGAATCCAGGGTTTTTCTGCTTTAGTATCATTAACAAACTCACACAAAAAGAAGTCTTCCATCCATGACTTTTGCCTGGTCAAGTATGTTACTGGTTTTGTTCCCCAAAATCATACCATGCAGCTGACCCTATCAGTCTTTAGTTGCTCAGATACAAGAATATTAGTCTAGCCAAAGAAAGATTTTGTGGCTTTTGCAGCAAGATAACAAACTATCTACAATAATAATTAAATGACAGGGTCATACATAATTATGAATACAGAAAATAAGAACTTACAAACCTGATTTTTCAAAGTGATATAATGGCAACTTACATGTGATTCTCAGACTGATAGAGAGAAACATATTAACAGTTAGTCTAGGGGTCTTAAAGGGGTACATGAACAATATTTCACAAATGCCTCTGTCTTGAACTTGCACAGCCTTCAGTTGCACTTACGACTCTTAGTCTGAGGTTGATTTGACCAAATTCTTCCAATGAGATAAAATTATCATCTCGCATATTTTGGACTCAACTTAAATTTGGTGGTACCCATATTTACATAACACTGCAGAGCTTTATTCAAGTTCATCAAAGTATTTTCATTTGCATGAAATGAAATATTACAAGGAAGCCTTTCACAGTTACATGATTATGTGCCAGGTATTCAAACCACACTTCCGTTTGTAATGCAATAAAGTCTTTCCATTGCTTGCATTACAGGATTGCACCTTTCAGTATTTTAGGGGGCTTCCCTTTTTCATTGAGGAATTGCTTCAATTCAGCCTTTCACTCCAAACATGTTCACAGAATATATCTATCATTCTCTTTTTCGGTGTGTGGGTGAGTGTGTTCATCGGTGGAAGAAATCTCCAGAACTAAATTAATATTAAAGGCTCGCATGATGGAAATTAGTGTTGTATTCGGGACAGACTAAAAAGCATGTACATGTAGGTAAAGGGTTTTAGGAACCGCTCTACCTGCTAGAGCACTGTTAGCAATAGGCTCAATCATAAATACTTCCTACTGTCCTTGGGTATATCAGCATCTTTCCTGCATCTTCCACCCCACTCGTCTATCTTGTGAGAATATGACACAATTATTATTGCGATGTGTATCTTTTGTTAAAATCTGGTTGTTTTCTTTTTGAAAAGTATTGCTTTGTTTCAATGTAATCAAGCATGCACCCAGGTTACTGCTAATCTCCCTGGTTGGCATCAGTTAAACATTGCAGTTACCCTGTCTAATCTCTTGGTATCTGCACTGCAAAAAAGATGGAAAAAGTTAATCTGATCATTGTGATTGAGGGAATACATTGCTTCAACAGCATCCAAAAACATAGTTTGTATTCAGGTAAATTAAATGAAGCTCCATTCTCTTTTGGGCAGTTCAATGCAAAAACAGATTTTGACCATCAAAGTTTCGGATTAATTTGACAACATCCCCTGGGGGAGTAAGGAGACTGCTACCCTTCTACCCGATCCCTTCAAGACAAGACAAACGGATGACACAGAGGGAAGTACACATGTAGGTAAGACAAACCAGAAAGGCAATCATACCAAAGATGGATATCAACAGGAAGAGAACATACAAGAAATGCAAAGACAAGCAAGAAAAGAGCAAATGAGAAACACATAATAAAGAAAAATGAAAACAGGATAAGACATAAAAAGACAAGAAGAAAAGAAAGCAAGAAACGATAAACATGAAAAAAGACACTCACTCACTGTCCAGTGGGAAGCCGCAAAAGATGACAGCCGTCAGACTCCTCAGGGTGCTAAAGACCAGACCTTCATTCCTTTGTCGTTCATATCGTCCATGTTCCCTGCTGGTCTACAACTAGAATGCAACATCAGAACCACCATGCTGATCAACACTGATTAGATTTCCTTGAAGCGGTCCTGTAAAAATTTAAATGAAAAGCATTAAGTTACTGTAATGAGTGCAGGCCTCCTGTGACTAAAGTTTTAAGGGTAGATCTTTGCAAGCTGTGAATGGTTCATCTGTGCATTATGCTATGTTTGATGCAATCCTCCCCTTAATTTCGGAACAATTTTCTGTTATTTGTATACTACACTATATTCACTCCACACTTGTGTAGTGACCCTTAGCAGGGAGGAAGGAATGCCCTTATTATTTTTGCCCTCTGAATTACCAACATGCCGAGTAAAAATCGGAGTATGTATAATTTTTCCCTTCCTCTATAGTTTTCTCAACTGTACCATCGCCTGTTTTCTCAGTCTAAAAAGTCAGTCCATGGGATCTTTTGCAATTAGACCTACCCACAAATGGTGATACTACTTTACGGAAAAGTGAAATCTCGGGTAGCAAATGCACAGCGGTTCAACACTCTTCGGCAGGAGAGAATACGACGAGATACTGCTGTATGTGCAAATTGCAACTGGCAAAATAACGCGCGCTGCGACTTCAAAACCACCAGTGGGCAAAGAAAGACGAACTTTGCATATCAATCACACGCTTTTTTCTTTCCGCATTCAGATGGCATACCAAATCTCTTTCAACAATAAGACGAATAGTTACAGACGGCAGCACTTTACTATAGCAATCAAGAAAACAGACTACATATATCAGTCACTGCACCATTCAAACTTGAAAACGACTCATGCTTCCACCATGCTTCCAGGAAGCTTAGGCCTGAGACGAAAAGACAAGACAGGTGCTTGGTAACACTCTGGGTCCCCATTTTTATTCAGAAGACTCCATTTTTTATCTTAAGTTGGACATCCGGGAGGGTCGGTCAGTCGGGAAATCTACTTTATAGTTTAGCCCTGAAAATTTTTAAGATTACCGTTTCTTTTTTTTCTTTTTTAAATTATTTTCTTGGCAGGAAATTCCAGATATACGGAAGAACATAAGGGTCACATGTGAAAAAAAAATTGCACGGATTGGGTAGGCTTTATCGACCAGCCTGAGGCGTTAGGGAAAGTCCCATTTGTTAGCCAGTCTTGGCCCAAGTCGTTACTGCATGTCAACTTTGTACAGCCTCAAAAACCCTGGCCCTTTCTCCGTTTAAAAAAGTAATGGCGTATATTCCGAGAGGGCGTCGTTTATTGCATCTTGCTTTCCGCACAACGTTGTCTGGTTTTGCATAATATTGTTAGATCGGAGTAAATGATTGCTTGTGGGCAATCTAGTTGTAACAAGTAGTGACATGTTTGAAAACCATAAACAAATTTTAAAAAAAAGTTTAAAATGCGTGCGTGGCCTTGCGGGGGGGTAAGCTCTATGGACAACTTCAAATGAGACTGGAAATCGGATAATTGGTTCATCATTAATAACCTTATACATTATAGGAATCTAATGGAAATAAAGCACAAATTCACAAAGTGGTATATAAAATCATAATACCCTCCATAACCTTAACATAATAGGAATATCCATCTTAGCAAATAGATGATATAAAAATCAATAATTTTTTCCCGATATTATTGTTGATATTATCCCTCAGTAAGACAACACTTCGAATTTTGAGCATGTATATTCAACTATCAATCTCATTAACTGGTTGAGTTAGTAATCGAAATTGCTACATACTGCCCCCCCCCGAAAAAAAGGAAAAAACTAAGTGAACTCTAATGCCAATCCAGCTTTCAATGCCCTTTGTTCAGTGTTTTAACACTTAATGATCAGTGGCGAATATGCAGATTTGGGGGATAGAGATGGATGCGACGGGTAACGGTTAGGGGATGAAACATCGTGACACTGTCAAGTTGGTGTCCCTCCAGCACCCCGGCCCCATAAGCTTGGGTCTCGTATGAACCATGCTTACTTCTCATGTAGTTCTCGCATCAAAATAAGATTAACCAAAACCAGTTATATACAAGCTTATACAAGATGTGTGAACTGTACATAGTTGGCTCCTCCAATTGGTGGCTAACTGAAATGTTAGAATTTTGTTTACCTTAAGTTGAAAAATACGGGAGGGTTGATCAGTCGGGAAAAACGGAGGTAAAAAAAGAACTTCATGCTATATTCCCGAAAATTATAATGATTACGGTTTTTTGTTTTGTTTTGTTTTTCTTGATACATGTAGAAAATTCCAGACATACGGAAACACATAAGGGCCACATGCGAAAAATTCTTATCGACCAGCATAGGCTCAGTTGGCAAAGTCCCATTTGTTAGCTAGTCTTCTCTCAAGTCGTTACTGCACATTCGCTTTGTACGGCCACAAAAAGAAATCGTGTCTTTAAAATTGACGAACGGAGAGGGCGTCCTTTGTTGCAGCTTGTTTCCCTTTTTCCGCATAAAACGTTATGCACACATCGTGTGATTGGACGTGTTGGAGCGGTTACCCGTTGGAGCGGATGATTGCTTCCCAAAAAGAAACTGGTAGTGGTACACATTTTCTGCTCTAAAATGGGAGTTTACAGAAATACAGCTAGGGAGGATCAACCCAGGTAAGTTTTATTTATAGTCTTCATTCAAGCGAAGTCACCTTACAAATTTAATTAACGTCGATTTTGTCATGATCACTGTCGATCTTGCCAGTGCCATCGCACGCATGGCACGTGGAAAGTGTGTTAATGTTATTGAACATGTTGAACTGAAAAGCATTGACATTGTTAAAGTGCTAAGAAAAGGCTTCAAATATTTCGACATTTGGGGTTTTGGAGGTAGATTGGCCACCCAGAAACCAGTATACAATGGATTTATCTCTTGAAAATCAACACGAGAGAAATAAGGGGGGAAATTTCTTTCCACGACCAACTGGGCTGATTTCGGAAGCACGTGAAGTAAAATTCTGTGTCTGTTTATGTTGGGTTGGTGATGTCGTTCGATTTGGGCTTCTTCCTCCAAGTACGGCAGCAACCTCCTCTACGGGATATTTTAAGTTGCAGGTGCGTGGTGGCTTGCTGGTTCTAATACATGTGGTGGGTGCTTCCATAATGTATCAACAGGTCTACTAGAAAGTTTGTCCTAAAGATATCAATATAATTTTATGTAGCTTCCCCTATTTCAGTCAGCAAATGGTTCCATCCCACAAAGATCCTGAGTATGAAGAGAATTTGTAGTAGTCTTTTTGTGCTGATTGATGAAAAAAGGAAAAAGAAGATGTTATCTGTGTTGCAATCTCCTCTACTTTGGATCCAACCCGATAATAATTTATGTCCTCTATTACATGTAATTTGTGAGGGATGGATTTATAGAAAATAAAGTGAGTCTACTGATGGATCCTCCAGAGATTTCTGTCCCAGATTTTGAATCATTAAGGAAACACTGCTTCTCGGTCGAAAACCTTTGCATACAAAGTAGTAGGGTCCAAGTACCTTCTGTATACATACACTGTACTTTGCTTCCATTGATTCATTTCACTCAAAATGGTCAGAATGCCCCCGTCTATGGATTAAGTGAGAATCAGAGAGTCCAATAATGATAATATGGTTTACTCACATATGGGAAGAAAAGAGAAATTTTCCCTTCAAATCAAAAATGCTGTCGTTGACGAGCTTGAAGACGCCATCTTTCCTCAAATAGCAATTTGAACCATATGTTGATGTCCTGTTGACAACGTCACGATGCGCTGGCCTGGTGACCCATTCACAGAAAGCATACATGTACTTTGTTGGCACATGCACTCCAAGGACTGTTTCCTGAGCAGCGTAATGTTCAGTGTACAGTTTTGATATGGTCACAGCCACCAAACTTTGCACCACTCAGAAAACATGAATGTACATGTAACACGAGATGGATTCTGAACACCTTCTTGTACCATGCGACGATAAATACATGTAATGTCAATCCCACAGGTTGTGGTGGCAAATTTGATTGTGAACATGTACAGCAGGTTATACATGTAACATTATAAGTAAGTGCAAATTGCACTGATGACCGTACCTTTTAGGCATGGTAGGAAACAAATTTCACCTTGTCATGCCTGTAGTGTTTACACGATGTACATGTATGTATGGAGAGGATCATCGGTAATGGTCATAGAGTTTGGTTTCTTGCTTTCTGCACTGTTGTCTGCAGAACACGATGGGCTGCAGCACAATGCCAACTTGTCAAAGAGAGAGTGTGCATTCTGACTGCTGTCTACCTTTTCATACTTCGTGACATATTCCGCAGACAATTATAATTGCTTACTTGGATAAGCAGTCTGCAGCATTTTGTTTTTACATGTAGGTCCAAATAAAAAAATGATAGAGAACAGAACAGGTACATGTGCAATTGGATGATGGGGCACAGGCAAGGAACTTTTTACATTACATGTACATGTATGGGCAAACAGAGTAACCTCTCATATCACAATGTAGTGCGAACTAAACCAGACTGATCAAAAGGGTTAAGTCTACCCCCTCTGCATTTTCAACAGCAAAAAAGCCAGGCATCAAAGCAGCAGCAGTAGCAGCAGCAGTAGCAGCGACACAGGCAGCAGCAGTGATTCAGATTCCAGTGGGAGTGAATCCAGCAGCAGCAGCAGCAGCAGTGGTGGCAGCAGTGATAGCAGCAGCTCAGGATCAGCAGCAAATCAACGTGGTGAACAGCGGCGATATTCCAAGGAGAGTCAAAGGAGCAAGGCAGCGGAGAAAGGGGACCACAGGGCATCAGTGAGGAGCAAAGATGATGAGGACCAAGAAATGAGAAATGTCTCCAGGAAAAGGATTCCCTCACCCCACAGTCCAGATGAACCACCCCCTGATTTTGAACCACGGTAGGCCATACCCATCTCTTGGTAGTTGTAGAACATTGTGGGAAGAAGTAAAGCCATATGCTGAAGTTGAATAGGCCCATTTGTAGGTGCAATATTTGAATGATTTATCACCTTTCGGTATGACTGACTTGGAGTGATCAAAGGACGAGTATATTTTTGGCCTGTGTTGTCCATTTTCCTTGCTAATCAATCAAGCTGTATAGAGTATGACTACTTTTAGCTGGCTGCAGGTACGGCTTATCTGTCCTTTCGTTTTTCTGTTTCGTTAGGCCAAACAAAAAAATAGCTGTGTTTCCGGTTACCCGACTCAACCTAGAAAATTACGCGGAACCTGTATCTTTTTATTAGACAAATCAATAAAATATAAAAACTTGTGAAGCCTTGCCCTGAGCCTAATTTTGTGTACATCATCCTGTACATTCTATTGTTTTAATTTTGTTTTTTGCATGAGATGGACAGCTCTTGTGTGTTTGTATTTCAACAACCAGCTGCTTTACTACTCAGTCACGGTGCTGATATGTAATATTGACATGCACATGTACAGTATTAATCTGACTTGGCACCTGTTACAAATATATGCGCCCCCCCAAAAAATACAGACCATCATCCAACCGTAATTTTTGGGCTACAAAAATTTAGAGTAAAAAAATTATATTTTACCCAACCAACCACCCTGATTTGCTTTTAGGAATAGGAAATAGTAACAGGAAACACAAGTAATTTTTTGTTTGGCATTATTGAAAGAATTAAAATCTAAAAATTTGGAGGTTTTGGCCAAAGAAATTTTAGTTGTTTGGTCTGACACCATTTAAAAGGAAGTGTTTATTTTAAGTGATAAGATTGAATAAATCAGACTGAATTGATAATGTTTTAGTAATGGATCCAATCATGCAGGTGTCTGGTGAAAAACCCCAAACATCACCTTTAACAGTTTCATTGATTGGTAATAAATTGAATTTATGCTGTAAATTTATTATATGTTTTCACTCAAAAGGACCATTTTATTATTTTTTTTTGGTTTAATCAATGACAGGTCACCAAGCACACCTCCACCGGCCACTCACAGATCTCCAGCCAAGGACAGAGGCTCCACAAGGTCCAGCCACCGGTCACCCGTCATCAAGGCCCCAGATATAGAGACCTCCAGTACAGGCGATAAGTCGGAGGACGAGCTGTCCATAGGGCCGGATGACAAGGACATGTACCGAGACGAAGACACACCACCACAGCAAGAGCCGACAAAGAAGTCAAGCAGGTGAGGAAGAAATGGCCTGTTAGATAAATTATCACCTTTATATCATGAATCAATGCTGTATTACTGTACTGAGCCAGTTTGGTACATGTAGAGGGGCAGTTTGCTCCCTGAAGAACATTGTCGGTTGATTCTTTCAAAGTATGATTGACATATACTTTTCAGAATCTTGTTGTTGAAATGCAAGATCATCCTGATGGCACCTGTGAATCGTTTGACATCGGATGATAACATTTTCCAGTGTTTCACAACTCGTCCTCTGCACTTGGGAAATCAGAACAATATAATCATCTGTACTATATTAAGTTGTGTTTGTGTTGTGGTCTCTACTAGACCCCAAGCCTACCAGGACAGTGAAGATAGCAGTTCAGAGAGTGACGACAGCTACTCCTGGCGTGCTGAACGGGTCAAGTCTGTACTTCAAAGTCGCGTCCACAAGCCCACAGAGGAACGTCGGCGCCATAGATCAGCTTCCTATGAAAGGTACGCTGCTGTCAAATTTAGAGGAACCAGTCAGGGACCGATTTCATGACACAACTGAGAGACAGATGCGCTTTACTTGCACTTATCAAAAGAATGAGGAAAAACAAAAACTGAAAGAATTTATTGGTTTTCAAGGGCCTCATTTGTTTCAACTCTACCAAATCCGAGCCTACCCATCTGCAGTTTTTTGCGTGCCAAAAGGTCTTTATCAAAAATTACTCTGAAGTGTCCTTTTCAAAAATTATTGTATAAATCACTGCTACCTTAAGGACTTGCAGAGCCTTTGTTATGTTAGATAATGACTTGTGCATACTTTGAAGCCAGGGTAAAATAAATTTAGACCAACTGCTCTCCCCAAATGCAACTTTTTGAATACACGATGGTGAAAAAATTTCTTGTGTGTGAACAAAACAGGGAAAAGGTCTCATTCTAAGACCATTGTAAATTGATAACCATGTCAAGTTTTAATTCAATTTGTGACTGTGTTGCCAAGATTTCTGGAGATTGGAGAAGGTGCTCTGTTTCCACTGTGAGACAAATACAGTTGGGGCTCTCTTAAGGTTGCAGACAAGCTTAAAAAAAAACCTACCCTGATCTGTTAGGCATGAGTTTTGTTCTTTGCTTTTTCCCCGGTTAGAGAGGACTTTGACTCCAGAGGTCGTTTCCGCAGCGTGATTGGCACCACCATCAAGCGACAGTCCAGGCCCGACTCCCCAGAGAGTGGGGAAATCACTGATGAGGAAACTGATGGAGACAGTGACAGACGGGGTGAGAGACAGCCCGGAAAAAGGGTCTCACCAGAGCGTAAGAGGTAAGAGACAGAAGCCTGTTGACATGCTAGACCTGTAGTTACCACATTGTGTACATTGTACATACATGTATACTGCACTTTGGAAGGCATCATGCTGTCATGGCTGTGTGCCGATGTACTCAATGCAGATGTCAAATAATCATGTGTCCTGTAATGGTCCCCAAGTATATAATAAGTGATTGAAGTTGCACACCAAGCCAGTGAAGCGTTATTCTCTCATACTTTGCATATATGGTTGGCCAGTATTGGGAGATTTATTACTGAAAGAGGTGGCTCGAATTCTCTTGATCTTGAATTCGACGCTGCACACTGTAAGATGTGTTACTTGTTCATAACATCATGTCCCGTGCTCAGGTTTCATGAGAGTAACTTGCTAATTGTTATGCACGTGTTTTATTGACCTAGGGGCAAACATTCGGAGGACTCCAGAAGAATCCAAGACAGGCACCAAGACAGACACAGTCATAGAGACAGAGGGAGAAAGGAACCTGATAGTGATGAGGATTACCGGGAAGCTGAGAGGAACTTCCGTAAGCGCCGGTTTGAGAAGGCCCAGGAGAAGCGTTCCAAGCAGGACCGAAACAAGACCCTTCAAGAGTAAGACTTCAACTTCAGTAGCCTTGAAACATGACATGATAAAATTCAGTGGAATTATGCAACTCAGCTGGTGGTTTGTCATCACCCTATGCACAGCCGCTCATAATTCAGGCTATGGCCTGCCCTAAACCGCACCACGGTCTCTCAGATCCTATTCCACGGACTGCCGTCAGCCACCCCCATTGTCTCAAGTCCCAGGGCCTACCATACCCCTGTTCATAGCCAGCCATACCACAGTCTGTTGTGTACCATAAGCCAACCCATGGTCTCTTATAACCCAGTCCATTGCCTGTAGTGTTTATTTTGTCTACGTCCTATTCTAGCTATGTCCACACTTTGCCACCACCAAAACTATGGCTTATCATGACCACCCTATTCCCACTTTTTAAAACCAGTTTATAGTGGCCCACAATCAGGTCTATGGCCTGTTGTGGCACCCAGCAACCCAGTCCGTGGCCTGTCAGAACCTTGTCAGTAGTGCTACAGCCGAACCGCCGCACTGAACCAAAAATTGTCGAACATGGAACTTTTCAATCAAACCAAACTGGTCAGTTTGGATGTCTGGCTTAAATATGGCATGACATTGATAGCGCACGGAATGCATGCAAGAAAACGGGATAAAAAAGCAAACACAACGAAAAATGGATAATAAATGTACTGTACATGTACATATATGTACAGTAAACTTATGATGGCCCCGTAGCATGCGATGGTTGTAAAAACCATGTGGTGAGAATTCACCAATAATCAACTGAGAATATGCAACGTACAGCATTTATGCTGCACAACAATTCTAAATTCTCACTACATCCAATTGTGCTTATGTATATGTATATTCAGATTTAGTGTTATGTTTGCCAATCTCCGATAGCCATGCCCTCCAGTTCCATATTAGGCCAATGACGTCATGAATGGCCGTGTAAAACAAATTTTGATTGGATGCTGATCACAATCGGACTCATTCTTGATTGGAGGGAAAACTAATTTTGCCAGGCCTGCAGGTGCAGCGCTCCAGCGTGGGCATGTGACAAGATTTGGTTTGCGCAGTGGCCCAACCTGCCTTTCGTTGATCACGTTTGATCACAGTAGTAGTGTGAATATCTTATAATGAAATTTTGCCAGATCTCTAAGTTGTTTGCAAATCTCAAATAACAAAATGCCGTTATCCGTTCACAAAAGACTGATGGAAAATTGCCCCTTCGGCCATGTGGGCGCCATCCTGGGAAAGAATGCTGACTTGATACCAAGGTTCTTCTTTGAATACATGGAAAGCCATGGTTTGGCAGTTGAATGTGTTTCATGAAAAATAACCAAAACACAATTCACTCGAAATTTGATCTTACATGTATATCCTGTAAAGTTGGTGACTCCCATTTGAGCATGCTGTTTTTCTGTTTTCACATATCCTACGATTGTTTTGTTGAGTCAGGCCAAACACAACTGCCTTTGATCGGCAAAACACGGTTGAAAACTTTCACACCTCCGACGGTGACTTTTTATGGAATTTTAACTCCTAAACAAACTTTGGGGAAACAGTTTTAAAAAAAATTATGTTCTCATGGAAGTTGCTCGTGGATGGGGATGTAGAGGAGATTCATTGCTTTTATTGACGTAGTTTACACACAGACGTACTATACACGGCATGTTCGTAGCATGCTCTTTTATGTCTCAATATGCATTGTATATGTTGATGTGTGTGCGTGTTGGAACACGAACCGAATCAAAGTTCGACCAAAAATTTTCAAATATGTCCGAACTGAACCCGAACCGAACTTTTGCACCTACTTGCAATGCTACTCGTCTGTGAATCATGTCGCCCAGTCCACCACCCACAAGCCTACGGTGTAATCTCAACCATGTCTACCAGAGTTTCCTCTTGATTGTGACATCTGCAGGCAAAGCGCCAGATGGAGAGACAGACAGGAAGAGCCGAGTCGAAAGGAGCCAGACGACGAGCAGCCCGCCTCTAAGAAAACTAAGAAAGAGACAATAGACACGCCCCTGCAAAGCAAGACGGGTGGGGCTTACATCCCGCCAGCCAAGCTGCGGATGATGCAGGAGCAGATGACAGATAAATCCAGGTACATGCAAGAATCTTACCTCTGCCCTTTTTTGTTTGGCTTAGTTGCTGTCATCATTTTGCTCTTACAGAGAATATGAAAACAAAGCTAGAGTAGCTTGCCATTTCAAATAGAGCCAGCAACATTATATTTTATTCACTGACCCATATGATGTGATGTACATCAGTTGTTCAAAAAACTGCAATGCCGTGCACAATATTTTGGTAGTGGTCATGCCTTTAAAACTTTGGTAAATGACAAAAAGTATGAGAAAACATGAAACAGTACCTAGTGCTAGATCGGCATGATATTAAACAACAACCATACCAGACATGTGGTGATCATTACGCCATTTGATAAAGAATTAACAGTTGAAGCCTCACGGTCTGGTTGAATGACAGCATAATATGGTGTACAGTTACAAACCAAGCGCTTACCTGCTTCAGTGATACCCAATTTCAGGAGAACCATTTGATCATCCAGCACCTTGTTGATTGGACACTGTTCCAATATGGCGGGTCCATTTTCAGTGACCAGAAGCCCTGTGTAACTAGACCAAAAATATCCAAAAGTCAATTCCAGTTCCTAATTTGTTTTTTCTCTATTGTAGCAAGTGATTACCTGATCAAAGCCTGAAATGATTTTGTCCTTATCCTGTTTTCCCCTACCAGCGCAGCCTACCAGCGTCTGGCCTGGGAGGCATTGAAGAAGAGCATCAATGGTCTTATTAACAAGACCAACGTGTCCAACATCAGTAACATCATTCAGGAGTTGCTGCAGCTGAACATTGTCAGGGGGAGGTAAGCCTTATTGAATAATGCAATGGTCATCCACTCCAGGGCCCCATTGATGAGCGACGCAGCACCGCTGCATGCCAATCCAGTCGTGTTTGAAAAGACACCACTCGCATTCACTGGGGACAAAGGAAATTACACAACACCTCACAATTCTAGGCTCTCTTTACAAGGCAGCAGTCCTGGCTGAAATACTCAGGAGTCAATGAAGGTTGCCTGTCAGCTTAGAGTAGCCACCAAACAGTCATTCGTGTGGATGTAAATGTCAATTAAATGAAACAATGAATTTTTGAAGAATTCTGGAAACTGAAAATATTAAAAATCTCCCGTATGTGTGCACTGCCTTTTTAAAAGCACCCGGCAGCAAGTGGTTAACCCCACTGGTGCCACATGCCTGGTGCTGAGATGAATATGTTAACAGATTTCCAAACTTACATCGGGAACTCTGGCAGACACAAGTGAACGTGTTCATTGTGCTTGATGTGCTGCAGCAAGGATTGTTGCTTGCTAAAAACTCTCTTCCTTTTCATACGCAGCCCACAGTCTCTGGAGAATTCTCATTTTTTATTGTCTGGACTTTGGTAGCCTATTAGATGTGGAATTATACCATGGAATTATACTGCTGTCATTTGGGATCTTGATGTTGCTACGGTTGTCATGGAGTGAGTTGCCTGTCAGTTTTTTAGTTTTTGTTTCCTCTTTGCAGGGGCCTGCTGGCTCGTTCTGTCATACAAGCCCAGGCCGCTTCGCCTACATTTACCCACGTCATTGCAGCATTGGTAGCCATTGTCAACTGCAAGGTATGACCGTATAGACCTCTATCATGGGGCAGCCATCTTGCTTTTCTACCATTCATGCCAATTTAACTAAACTGAAGCTAAGGGGGAAAATAGTTTGGTCCTCTTATCAATATGTGAAATTGTATTACTTTTGCCAGTGGGTCTACATGGATCAGGACAAACGTGGCAGCATCACGGTAAAGGTTTATATATAAACACAATGCAGCTGCTACTTGTGTACGAGTATGGTCTTTGAGTCATGTTTTCAGATTGACAATGAAATAACAGGGCAAGTTATGTTAATAACAGTGACATGGTTGTGTAATTTTGAGTTTTGATGCCTCATGGCATATTAAACTGAAATGTGATGATTAGCCACATATTTTTGAGACTGGACTTTGAAACGTAGTCTCTTTTTGTAAAAATCGTATGCATAGCCGAATCAACAGTTGTGGGTATCTCTAGCAGAAGATTTCTTCTTAACAGAAGAGTTTTGAAATGTCCAAACATTAATGAAATTGGAAATGTTTCAGCTTATTTGAAATATCCTATTGACGGGTGTGAAATCTCAGCTTTTTAGAGGATTTTCACTTTTTTTCATTTGGAAAGAGTTCCATGCACGCACAACACTTCATGACTCTGTGCACAAACCTATGAGACTTTTCTGAAAAAAACGGTTTTCTATAAATACTTCGGAATTTTCTCAGCTATTTTTCACTTTTAGGACATGTTTTCACTTTCTGATGGCTGTTGTAATATTTGAAGGGAAATCAGTGTTGCCCGTATATGTAACTCTTTCTATTAACCCTAAGCACCCAAGGGTATGTGCTTTGGGATTTCAGCTATTTTTCTGTATATTCCTCTCACACCCCTGAATGAGGAGAGTGGGTTTTATTTATTGAAAAGAAAAACAAAGTGGACCAAATTTCAGCCGGTGAAATGTTTTTGTAGACCGCAGCAGAGTCGGCTGAAGCACTATCGCATTTGCCAAGGCAGCATTAAGAAGATCCTGATATTATCAAGCTGGCCACTTTTAATGTTAGTGTTTTGACTCCACTCTTTATTTCTGTGTTCTGTATGTGTGGGCCTGCTGTCGGTCCTTTGCAGTTCCCACAGAATGGTGAGCTGATCCTGAAACGTCTGGTTATCAACTTCAAGAAGGGATTCCGCCGCAACGACAAAGTGATGTGTCTATCAGCCACAAGATTCATCGCACACTTGGTCAACCAACAAGTGGTAAGGTGGTCGTTTTTCATTTATACCTGGCAGGAGAATGACGTTTGGAAGCAGAATAATGTTGTCAGTCCATCACAAGCTCTTTCACAGGACCAGTCATAAGTATCAGGGTGAACAATGACAAAGGTGTATGCTTTTGTCACAGTTCATTTGAATAGATTGTGACTTGGCTTATAAAGACTGGATGACTTGAATGTGTGCTGGACTTGTGGGGACTTGAGATTGGCTGACTACAACCCCTTTGCAGAATGTGGTTTTTAGGCGTGTGATAAAAGTGCTTCCTTTTCTCCTACTGTGTTTGATCCTAGGCCCATGAGGTGATTGCTCTTGAGATCTTGACCCTTCTGTTGGAGAACCCTACCAATGATAGTGTGGAGGTGACCATTGGCTTTTTGAAGGAGTGTGCCGTGAAGCTATCAGAAGTCTCACCGAGAGGACTCAATGGTATGCCTCCACAGAATGCGTCACAGTTATGTATCTCAGAGCAGACGTGACTTTCAGTTACTGATTGGTCAGTCCACTGCAATGTCACCGTCAGCCATTTGGTTTGGCTGTGTTATGCTTGATTCAAGATTGTGTAGTCCAGCCACTGTAATTTTGCCTTGGGGATTTCACATACTAACTTTGTTTTAAGTACAGAGAATGTGCATTGGCTGACTGCAGAGGTAAATTTTAGAGGATTCCGAAAATCTTTCAGCAAAACATCAAAAGATGTTTGATTTTTTTCTGCAAATTCTGAGGATGTGGTGATGTGATGAAATGGAATTAGCATGCTATTTACTTACAAAAAGTGTCACATCGAGGTAGCTGTAAGTTGCTAGGATTCGATTTTTAAAACTCACATTGACATAACTCTCTGTTTGTCCTAATCTGATTCCAGCCATCTTTGATCGACTTCGAAGCATCCTTCATGAGGCACAGATTGAACAGCGAGTCCAGTACATGGTGGAAGTCATCTTCGCTAACCGCAAAGACGGCTTCAAAGATTTCCCAGCTATCCAGGTACTCCTAAAAAAATGACAACATAAATTCTTATGTGTTTGTTTGACACACACTTCCTGGATTTACAAATCTTTTAACCTCAACTATGCTGAATTGACAGCTGGTTGGCCAGGCTTTGGGGATGGTTGACCTGTTGTATCCTACTAAGCGGGCTTCTCACATTAGCAGTGTTAAAGATGCTTGGACAAAACACAATGAAATGTTAAGATTAAACAGTGCAGCGTGACAGGGATGGAATTTGGATTGATTTCTTTGATGTGGATATAGATGCACTCTTCGTGTCAATATTATTCTCGTAATTTATTTGGAAGTGTAAAAAACTGGGCAAAATAAAATTCAACATAAAATTAGCCGGTGGAAAATACTGACGGGTTTGTATCATGTTTGAAAGTTAGAAAACATGCGTATGGATTCTAGAGTTGTCAAAATTAAGGACCCTAGAGTTGGTATCATGGAGAAATAAGTCCATATCCCCTCTAAAAGTTGACATCCACTCAAAATAGTTGACTACTCTATTTTGTGGCAAACTTCTGTTTCATTGATGATTGATCCTTCTGTCACCTGCAGGAAGGGTTGGATCTGGTAGAGGAGTCCGAACAGTATACCCATCTGCTCACTCTGGAAGAGAACTACTCACCTGAAGACTTACTCAGTAAGTCCGCATCTAGATAAGTTGTGCCGATTTCTCTCTGGTTGTCTGTTTACTTGCTTCAGATGGGGGAGGGTAGTGGTTGATGGTTTACAGGGCCTGATGTAGCATACAAATGGCATGGCCAGGCTGGGCCTGCCTACTTTTAGATTATCAACATGTTTTATTCTTATAGTTTGAAGGCTTGATGACTGACAGATGTTGTTAGAGATAGGCAGAAAATGCTGTAAAAATTGTTTTTTTGTACGATTGAACCTTTCCTTGGATGTTCCTTTGCAGATATCTTCAAGGAGGACCCCGAGTTCTTGGCCAACGAGGAGAAGTACAAGGCCATCCGGAAGGAGATCCTGGGAGAGGATAGTGACGAGTCAGGCTCAGAGGGTGACAGCGACGAAGAGTCTGACAGTCAGGACGATGATGAGGAAGATGAAGAACATCAAGGTGAGGAAGCAGTGGGTCAGAGGTCAGAGGAATGTAGCTGGTAGCTAGAGTTTAATTTCTGTAACCAGGTACAGGCATTTGTGAAACAGATTGTGGTAATGGTTGGTAATAGGTGAAAGATGAAGGGTCACCAGTGTAACAATGTCTCTAAACTCATCTCCTGGCTCCATGTGAAAAGCAAGACTCCTCTGACAAAATACCATTATGTACACTCCTAGGAATGATAGCATTTGTGTTTACCAGGCTTAGGTTGTTTTAACCTTGTTTATTTGAATAAGAGGCTCTTGAGGAGTGTGGAGAGATGGACATTGCATACTCGGTAAGCTCCAGTAATGGTTGAAAGCATTGTGTAGACTGAGCAGTAGCTGGCACACAGTCAGAGGGATCTACCATTGTGCATACTTGTGTGTACTCCTTTATCTTCAGTTTTTATTTTGATATTTTAACTTTTATCCTTTGACCTTTTATTTCTGTGATTTTGAGGGCTCTGTTGGAAAGTAGTTTGTTACTGAACTGAATTGGACTACCTTCATTAAATTTGTTTGTGTCGTCCCTGGGCCCTTGTTAAGTGCACAGTGATCGCATACTCGGAGTCTATATCGCTGAGGTAGTAGTTTCCCATCTGCATCTTGATTTTCCAGTAGGGCCCTTGTCAAGTCCATGAAGGGTCCCTGCAAGTCCATCTTAAGTCATCCAGTCTTAAGCAAGTCACACAGGAACTGTGACAAACGTATTCCTTTGTCATTGCCCACCCTGTTGCATGTGACTCGACTTGTCATAGTCTGGACTTCAGCCTGCAGTCAAAGTGCCAAAAATTCTAGTTCACATTAACGTTCATGTCCAGGTCTTCCGTTCTGTGGGCACCATCTTTTGCTGTCTTTAACTTATGCAGCATTTCTTTAGCATATGAAAATGTATTGCTGTTTCTCGTATTTGCTGTGTTCAGAGGCAGAGAAGATGGAGATTCTTGATCAGACAGAAACCAACATGATCGCCCTACGTCGCACCATCTACCTGACAATCCAATCCAGTCTGGACTTTGAGGAGTGCGCTCACAAGATGCTGAGGATGGACTTCAAGCCTGGACAAGAGGTGGGTTGATTGTGGTGACCTAGTGAGAATCAAGAGGTCAGACTAGTGAAGGTGGGGCATTGGACACCCATTCGGACTTCCAAAGTCTATCCTGAGTCAGTATGATTCGTGGATCTCAGTTTGCACAGAGCTAAGAACCAAGAGGTGGGTTAGTGAGAACATAGAACGGTCAACAGGATGGAGTGATGAACATTGGACAATACTCTGATTTCTTCTTACCCTGCTTCAAGATGGCAAGACTTTTGTTCTCAGTTTGCACTGAGGTCAGTGGAGACAGAACCAAGAGGTGTGTGGGGATGTGGTGATGCACAGAGGTCAAGAGGTCGTGCTGGTCAGGGTGAAGTATTTTACAGCTGACTTTTCCCAACCTTTTTCAAGGCTGCTACAGCTACATATGAAGCATTTTTTTCCTTTCACACTTACGTGTCAAATTCTTGTTTTTTAATTTACAGAAAGAAGTCTGTCTAATGATCCTGGATTGCTGTGCCCAGCAGAGAACCTACGAGAAGTTCTTTGGCCTTCTAGCTCAGGTTTGTCAGATAAATGTGATTTGAAACCCCTCACTGTCGAAAGGTTCATGCAGCTTGAGGATGATTTCATTACTCTCAAAAGTAAATAAACAATTTGTGTAAAATTTGCTAATTGTTGAATAGAACACTGTAATGAAGTTAGCAAAATCTATTGCTTGTTGGCAAAAACTGCTGGGCATGCTGGTCGCTGTTGTTGGTCGTTCCTGCTTTTTGTCTCAAATAACTGGTGTTCAACTCCTGTCTTGGACCTGATACGCTTTGCCTTTTTTGGTCACTTACTGCACAGGCAGTGTCTGCATTGTGATTCTCTCTGTGTTTTCTGCTAGCTCAAAAAAAAATGTCAATTTCCTTTTTTGCCTCCCTCAATTCTACGTGGAGATTTGAGGTTAAACAGTGCTGCAACACGGATTAGGATAACCAAGTTTAATGTAAATGACAAGTTTGGAAAGTTGGAGCTGTTTCAGAACTCATTTATTTGAAGAAACCTCTTCACGATACGAAAGGGGTCTTCATTTCAGAAAGTTTGCGTGGTCAATTTCAGTTTGTTCATAAATGTGCCATTGATATGCTGTTTTAAGAAGTAAAGGGCGACCTACGGCACTACCTTAGCATCGGCAGTGATCCAAATTGCACAATCACCAAAAGTGAAGCTTTACAGTGAAAATGCTAGTACTTTAGGTTGTGGGAGAAAACACACCATATGATTGGTTATATTGTCGTCAATTTGGCAAAGGGGCTTGAGATCACTTCCAGGGCTTTCTAGGAAAAAAAATTAAATGATTGTGTCCCTTTTTTACTTGTTTATCTATGATCAGCGGTTTTGTCAGCTGAAGCGCGAGTACATGCAGCAGTATGAGATGATATTCCCTGAGCAGTATGAGACGTGTCATCGTCTGGACACTAACAAACTCCGCAACGTGGCCAAGTTCTTTGCTCATTTGCTCCACACCGATGCCATATCCTGGACTGTGAGTAAACAGATACACAATGTACATGCTTTGAAGATGTCACATTTTACCAGAACCTGTCACGGCGTTTGTTTATAGCTTGCTTGTATTGAATTTTGCGCATTTTCAGAGTATGGAACACTGTGACAAGTCATTAGCAGGCAAAAGAAACAATTGTGACAGAGAAAGAATAGACCCTGATTACAAAGAGGATGTCTCCTCAAGTTTCCAACTATCATGAATTCTTAAAATTGGCTTCTCAACAATTTGCCAGTTTTCTGCAAATGAAATTGAGTTGCCCTTACTATGTGCTGGAGCATGACAGCATCTGTTTCTGCTTTCGACATGACATCAGTCCAGAAACCTTTGAACACAAAAGCCATCATCTAGTGCCCTGTCTCCTACAGTAACTAATTCAACTAATTCAATGTATGTTGGTGATGTGCTTGGCAGGTTCTGTCTGTCATCAAGATGAATGAGGAGGACACAACCTCGTCCAGTCGCATCTTTGTCAAGATCATGTTCCAAGAGCTGTCAGAGTACATGGGACTGCCCAAGATGAACGAGAGGCTCAGGGACCCGTAAGTAAAAAAAAAAAAGTGAGAATTTACTGTCCGTTTGACAAGGGCTGAAGCTTGAGCTCCAAGGTTATAGAAAGATGTGACAGGAAGTTGCATCTTGGAAGAAGATTGCCCTGTTTCCCCTATGGTAAAAAGTCTGTAAATATTCAAGCAATAGCAGCGTTTATTTTGGTAGGCCTATTCTTATGTTTGTCTATTGGCCAACCAATTTCCCCTAATACCTGTACATGCACACCCCTAGCCTTTTCATTCTTTGTTTTTCTTTATGGAATCAGGACTTTGCAAGCCTACTTTGAAGGACTCATGCCCCGAGATAATCCTGCCAACACCCGATTCTCCATCAATTTCTTCACCACGATCGGACTTGGAGGCCTCACGTAAGTCATATAACCCACTGCTCAACTTATTAGCCATGTAAGGAATCTGCGGCCTTTGCAATGTTTTATATCATAAAACAAGACATGCATTTTAATTTCTCTGCTTTCTCAAAAAATTGAAAAAATTTAATAAATGAAAAGTGAAAATCACAAGTTACCAGGGCAGGATTTATTTTTTAGCCTCTTGTTTATGTAGGGGACCGTTCCTTAGCAAGGGCTTTCAAAACTCTTACACCATAATCAACCAACCAACTCTTTCAACAAGAAAAAACTAGCTATGAGGCATATGAAATGCATATTCTGTTTGCCTCAAGGAAAGTTGGCAGTTGAATCACAATTTTGCATATTGATCTCATCTGATATGCTATAATTTGTGGCCATTTCACAACAAAATTTTTGTGTTACTGTAAATAGGTTTCATGAAAAGATCACCCACAGTGACCATTACAGCCAGCCAGTTTTCCAAGCTACACTGATGTATCTTATATCCTATTGCATTTTCTACTGTCACTGAAGCACAGGACAAGTTTGAGTGACTAACACTTATCAACCACCAGTTGATTTTGTCTGGTACCCAGGATGTAGCTGATGTACAGGTTAACCAGGGAAGATCCACCAGTGGTCAACAAATAGTTGTCACTCAAACTTGCCCATTGAAACTTCGGTGGATGGCTTCATGAAAAGACATCTTGTTGTTTGTCCATAGGGACGATCTGCGAGAGCATCTCAAGAACTACCAGAGGACCATCATGCAGCAACAGCGACCCGTGGAGAGTGACTCCTCCAGCTCTGGTAGCAGCTCCAGTGATTCCAGTGATTCCAGTGACTCCAGTGATTCCAGTGACTCCAGCGATTCCAGTGATTCCAGTGACAGCAGTAGCTCAGGTGCGTTGTGAAAGTCAATCTATGCACACCCATTCATTTATTATTGTAAGATTCTGATTGATGTGAAGGGAACCGCTAGAGGGATTTAAATGTTTTGAGTGGTCACAAGGTTTAATACACGTTGTTTTCATGTCAGTACTAAGTACTAAATGCCTTCAGTATCATGTTGAACACTCAATTTTGCTGCCTGCAACTTATTTTGCTTGTAAGTTTCTATTTCTCTGTACAGTGGATCGGTCCAGTGTTAATAGTAAGTAAAACTAAACCCTTGATCACAGTACTGGATTTTAAAAATCTGTGTTTATGTGTTTTAGTTTATTAACCCTAACCCTACATAATACTACAAATTATTACTTCTTGTAAAATGTAGTAATCAGTGCTGCCGCTTGTAAGAGAACATGACCGCATTGTTCCCTGAAGCCATAAAATACAATAGAGAAGACAATGTACCATACAGTGCTGTGGCACTATGAATACATGGCTTTACTGTTCTCTGTACGAGTAACAATGGAAAGAACCGAGCCAGAAGTAGTAATCTGTAGTGCTAGGTCCTCCAGGCTCAGGCTACTACTTAGTATTTTGTAGTACTGAGTACTGTATTAAAGCCAAACAATATGCTTGGCAATTCGGGTTAAGCATGACAAATATGCTGAAGTTCACCAAACATATACATATCTGGAAAAGAATAAATCTAGTACATGCACAAATTTTTAGAAAGCATTTGGTCAGTGGTATGAAATACCACCTTATCTATTTTCCTGACTGCACATCAGTGTTTCTTGTGTGCTTCAACAATTGTAATGTTTATTCCCTGGGAAGACTGACGGTGATGTACAGTAGAAATACAGGGTAATATCACCTTTTTTTTTGTTCATTTCGTGCAGAGAGTGAAGATGATTCAAAACACAAGGGAATGTTACGGACGAAGAAACCTGACGTCAGAGCTGTGAGAAGAAGAGAAAAGTACAGAACAGAACGGCCAACTGAGCGTCAAAATGACAGCCGCAGGGCAGGAGATGTAAGGAGGGATCGTCAAGGGAACATGGAATACCCCAGAAATCATAGGGGTTATGACCCACATGATCCAAGATTGGAGGATGTGGCTGATAGGGGTCCAAAAAACAGAGGACAGAGGAACAACAATAGCCGCCGTGGTTATGACAGCAGTGACGAGGACGACCATGGAAGGCGCAGCAATTATAACAACGCACAGCGCAGCAATCAGCACGATGGCCAGCAAGAAAGACGCCGGGTAAAAGCCCAGGTTGAAATGCAGGACAGACGCTTCGACAGATCACCCCCGAAGTCGGACAAGAAGTCAGCCAGGAAACCCAGGGGTTATGACCGAGAAAGTGACGAGGAGGAAAGGGACGAGGTCAGACAGGAGAAATCCCGTAAACTGCGCACTGACGGTCGTTATAAGATGGAAGACAAAGAGAATCGACGAGACCGAGAGAGCCGGGATGGGCGAGTCCAGCAGTCCAGAAAGAGAGCAGATGACACAGATGATGACATGCTTGACATACGAGCAAATTCCAGAAGGGAAAGAGACAACGATCGTGGCTACTCCAACGAAAAATCCAGCCGAGAAAGCTCGGGCAGTAAGGCACGGCAACGTGAATACAGCGACTCACCAGACGACAGGGTCCGACGTGAGCGCATACGGGACAGACGCTGAGAAATAATCAACTATTTTTCAAATGTGTTTTTCTAACCTCTGCAGAATTACTTGTATTTTGTTTGTAGCCTGATGTAGATTTGAACTGTTTTTTTGACCGTTAACACGCTGGACCTACAACCCCTCAGAAAGTAATAATGCATTGGATTTACTAGTCTGGAATCCATCAAGACTAATCCTCGCATCATAGTACTGTCAGAGGATTATCTAGAAGTAAGTGACAAGTTATAATTTGTGAGCAAAAATTGGAGTGTTTTGTCAAACTGTTTAACTGATAAATTTTGCTGCCCATATTACAAATACCGTTTGCTTTGCAAGTATTGCATTATTTAGGAAAGATGATATAAGTTCAGTTTACTTTTATTTTATGATTTTCATCTTCAATCTTCTTGTTTGGGATTCAAGTACATTGTTATAATTATTATGAATAAACTTGTTTACCAGTCAAAGCCAGAGAGATGCAAGCTGGAAGTATCATAGGTCAGTGTTCTCCAAACTGCTCTTAACTTCTCGAAGGACTATCCGTAAAGAATCTGTTCAATTGTGCTTTAAGCCAATTTCATTTATTTTTTTTGATTTCTGGTTTTGCCTTGGGAAGTGTAAGAGTTTTCAGGGACAGCAACAGCACTAGCCCGAGGATGTGTAACTGTGTGGACAACACATGTAAGATGTGAGGACTGGAAACAGTTTGTGGGCACAGAGTGAGAACCTATTTCAGTACACAGTCAGCAATGTTTAAAAAGTCAGACATGGTGGTTTCCTTTGGGACTATTTATATTGAGAACAAGTACTCCATAGCACAATGGCTGATAAACAGCTGTACATACTTACAAACCTGTTTTTTGGGGTGGTTCCAAAAATACTGGGATATCATTCCGGCCACTCCACAGCCCTGTTCAATTTGGTCTACTGGAACAGGCATTGATAGCCAGTTAATGTCCTTTTTTTGTTTTACTCAAAGCTGCTGGGGGCCGTTTTTTTTACCTGAAAATTCTTCAAACTTGCAAGTGTGCTTTGACACGACCAAGCATGACTCAATACATCGACTGCAGAAACGAAAAAGAATTTCAATTAAACAAGTTTACACGTCCTCCGTGGAACAAATAAGGTAAATTATGTGTGTTTACACATCATTTGGCATCAAGCGGTTAAAAGTGCTTTCTCATTCTGACTTTGTTACTGCCAAGTGTCAAATAATTGACATTGGGTGGATTCTGCTTCACGTGTAACAGTAAAGTACGGCGTGGCACACCACTCTTCATAATTTTATTTTCATGACCACTTGTGTGTGTATTTTTGGCCCTTAATGTCCCCACAGATATCCCGTCACACTGTTCTGCACCCGGGAGCCCTGTAAAGAGCCCAGTTTGATTATGTGATCAACCTGTAGCATTGCCTGACAATGTGAAATCATTCTCATGAATGCTTGAGCAAGGAGCAGTGTTTTCTTATAGTTAACTCCCTCCCAGACTCTACCCATATAATGGAACTGTGTAAATAAATTGCAGTCATTGGTATGAACTGTTTCTATTTTTCTGGTATTTTTCTGTTAACCGTTTTTAGTGCTAAAAAGCTATGAGTTTTCTAGGTGCTAATAAAGCATAATAGTATTACACAGTTTACACCATTTCAACCAATTTTTAGCTCTTTTTGTAGCCAAGAAAACAAAACCTTTTTTTCTTAACTATTTACCAACCAAACTGTTTTGCTGCAATTTTTTTTAACATGACAATTTTTTGTCTTCTCAATTCCCACAGAATCTCCATCAAAATGTGGTCAATGTGAAGCTCAATATTAAGTTCTGATTAAACACAATTTTCGTGTTCCTTACAATTTAATGACAAATACATATTCTGTGATTGCAAATAAAGCATTTTGTGTGTACATAATATGGAATAAATTCAATTTTACTTTGGTTTGCTATAGATTTCAAAAAGCAATTAACCTAATACATGTAAAGAATTTGGGGTACAAGATTACTTTGTCAACTTAAGATCAAATTTTCTCTCCATAAAGAGTAAGAGACAAAGTTTAGAAAAAATTAAGTTTAATAAATGGGTCTTTACACTTACATGACACTTCCAGTCCTGTTGATGGGAGCAAACATGGTCTGAAGTGATGCCCTGGAACTGGTCTACAAGGATCAACATGAAACCATTTACACAGTGAAACACTGACACTGATCTGAAGTACACTCCCACCACGTTGTTTTGCGTGTTTTTTTCAATTTTTGTTTCAAAGGAAGGCATTTTGACACTCATAAAACCAGGATTAAAATTTTCAAACTATCAACTCAATATCCTGAGTGGACAGACCCAAGCACAAAATTGTGGAGAGTGTAAGAAGGCCTCAAATTTGTCCTAAAAAGTCCATTACCTTAAAAATTGATCTCCAAACAAAATAATCCCCGACAACAGCTGTTAAAGTTCCCCTGTAGCTCCTTTAAAAAAAAACTACTTGCGAGATTAAATACATGTAATTTCCTGAAATTGGTTTTCAGGAGTAATTGCAAGTGCAGTGACCTTTGTACGAGCATATAACTTCATATAATATAGTGTGATCATTAGAATAACTTTTATTAAGATCTTGGTTTAATGGATTGAAAATGGACTAGTATTAAGCATGACGAACACTGAATACAAATTTGACATCTCAACTGATAGAGTGCATGTAGATGTTTATGCCCAAGATCCTTTAAAATTGGATCACTGCATCTGAATTATTTTTGGACTCTGCAACTTCAAATGAACAAATTTAATGCCTCAGTTCGAATCAATAATTGATGTTTTCATGATGAACTCTGACCCGTGAGAACTCTCTTTTTTTAAACACGCAAAAGTACTTTTAAAGCCAGCCACAAAATTGTTTGGGAAAATGGTGACCAGTCGAAACCAGGATCCACTCACATTTATGATGAGAAAGACACTGACAAAAAGCGAGTGCAAATTGGTAAAAGTAATACATATTTTTAGCCAATATGGACGTTGACAAAGCAACATTTTTATGTGTTTCCTTAAATTCACTACCCAAAAAACATCCCTTGAATATTGTGAGCAGCTACAACTTTCAACAAATACAGCATGCATTTCTTTCATATCTTATACATTCACATAATCAACATCACTTTGATAAAAAAATCTACGTTTAGGAAGTCAATAGTAATAAAAAATAGAAATTTCACACATTCAAATGAATATTACATTCCTGTATAAAATCGTGGTGCTGGATAGGACAAAAATGTTACTTTCTTACAGTACACAGAGGGTCATCTAGAGAAGAACGTTATCCAAGATGGTTTCGAGCACTCACAAGTGGGCTTCCTCCAGCTGCTGCAGGAATGCTTTGATAAAGGCATATGCTACTGTCCATGAAGCTACCTGAACATGAGGGGCAGGCTGTCTACAGTTTGAATCCCTACCAAGAGGTATGCCACATTCTGTTGCTAGGCTTCAAAGGTATTTCTCATGCTGAAAACGAATCAGCCCACCTGCATATTAGAGACCAACATATCCACACAGAATTTCCTGTACTCTGATCCAGCGTAAATGGCCTCTGATGTATTTTTTGGTTGACTAAAAGGCTCTTGAAATAACTTGTGTTACCGGCTAACACTGCATTAGAGAGCATTTAAAAGAGAGTTATTACAAAAAAAATTAAATCAATGCTTACAAGTAGCACAAGGAGACAATTTTAAACCAAACTGCTGGAATGTTTCTCTCCTCACAACTGACATCTTGCATTTTTCAAATGCATCTGTTACAGTGAATCAGCCCTGGAAAAAACTTTCGAAGAATGCTACGGTTCTGTCTTTTGACGAGGGGAAGTGACAGGAATGTACCTGTAATCACACACTTATTAACGCCCTCATAATTCTTTCAACGTACTCTTTTTACAATCATTGCACCTCAATGGTTTTCATCTTTAAAAAGAAAATTAAAAACCAATCTCTGTCAACTTTTGTTATCCAACCCTGCCTAGATGGCCAACTGTACAATATCATGCCTCTGTGAAGTCTCAAAATCTCTCAGTCTGCGAAAAAAAACGGGATCACAATACAAAAAACCATGATGTAAACTTCCAGTGACTACTTCTGCAATCCCGCTTAGCACATAGTTTCCTAATTACGCCATCCCTCCATTAATTTTATGGCCAGGTGAATAACAGGCATATGGGGAAAAAATAGATTGTGACAATTAATGACTGTGGCACAACTGGCTATACACCCACCACCTGGTAAATATGAACATGTTTTTAGGGTGTCCACAGACTACGGGTATCAACATCCTGTCAGGATCAACCTGCCCCGTGTGGGGGGTAATAGTCTGCAATTTTGCTCTGCATTTAGCTCTTCAATCAAAATATGCTACGTAAATGTTTCATCTCATTGGTACTACTATTAACATAAAAACAAGCCAAGTGCTAAATTATATCACTGCTTGAGCTATGCGTATTTACATGCATTTGAATATTGGCTCATTTGGCTAATGCTTGGGAGGTGTCAAGGGGTGTGTGATAGTTTCTATTTCTGGACTGTAATAGCTTACAATTCTTAAATACAGTTTTTTTACAGATAATTTAAATATACTCTCAACTAATTAGGTCGCTTGGAATGTGGGAAAGACTGTGGCAAGTCTAACTCTAAAGTCTTGGATGACCGCAAGAAATTTGCTATAACGTCTCTTCTTTTTTTAGCACTTTACAGTTGTGTGAACTACATTACATGAAATCATACCATATATTAACTTTCACGGTAAAATTCTAATGAGGGAAGGAAGAAGATTGTTGAGTTTCAGCCACCAGAAATTCATAACAAATTAGGATATTTTTTTTTTATATGAAACTTGATTATATTTTTCATGACATTTTTACTTCTCAGCTTTTTCTTCGTGCATTTTTTGTTGTACAAAATGCAACACAGCGCTAGTGGCAATGCTGCTACTGGCCTTAGGAGTTGGCCATCTTAAACTGAGGTGATCCCCATACAAATTTCTTTAAAAAGGCAACCTATGTGAGAAGAAAGATTGGTGCAAAATGGGAAAATTATTGATTATCATCCTTGTGATCCGATGGGCACCTGTTATAATCGCCAAATAGCCAGGTGCCTTCTCATTTCAGAGTGGCCGCCAAATAATGTGGATTCAGGGAGCACAACCCTTAAATTGACATCTGGTGAATGAAAAAGCCAATGATGTGCAAACAGTCCCTCTGGGTTGGTGCAAACATACAGTTTGTTGAATCTTGTTGTGCAGGCAAAGTGCCAGGGCAATGTGTAGTTGCGGACACCGCCGTTTTCTGTTACGCTTAAAAAGGGTCGCTCTCCAAAAGCATGCAACTTCAGGCAACGTTTTCTCTTAATTATGTTGACCTTGTTTCTATTGTACAGTTAGAACAGAAACATGGGAGAAACTTGACTTTCTTATCTGATTTTTCAGTAACCCAGCACACCAACTGACACAATGAAACCCTGTGATACTGCAGTATACTGGTAGTAAAGGAGTGTCACTCATCTTGACCAATCAGAAATTTGCTTTCTTAATTAACTTTTCAGCAACGAATCAGCAACTTTCTATCAAACCAGTGTGGGGACCACTGCCATGTTCATTTTCAGTGTGTGTTTTGTCACTATCACAGTTTTACAGCATAATTTCTCTTAAATCAAAACCTGGCCCTCTTTCCACGAAATGAATTTTGCAGATGTTCACAATGGAGTCATAGTCACTACTTAACTGAGTCATAATTTTCTGTTCTATTATAGAAACAACTTCCACGATTACATACTGTGCCATGGCTGTGTTCAGTAGGCAAAACAGCAAATCTACGATCTGTGCACAGACTCCAAAGGGCATCTAAACTTTCCATCCATCCTGCAAGATCACATCATGTATCTGAACAAGTATCAATTTATTTTCTTAACTTTTAAATCGTGAATAAAAGGTAATTATAGTCATACATACGTGTGCACAAATATCCAAATATTTGTAGATATTTTGTCAATATTTTTGTTTATATGGATTGGCTTCTGGCCTCCAAATTTAATTTTTCACAAAAACTGAATCGAAAAATCCCTGCTATAAAGTACAGGATAGTCTGAAGTAAATGGAAGACAATGGACTACAACAGCGCCCTCAACAGGGTGGATGCATTTCAACGGAACACCATTCAGTTGGTTTATCCCTCAGAGGACAGTAGGAGAATCTTTGTTATAAACTTTGGCAATGTTGGCACTTCTTGCTGATCACCGCCTGCCAAATAAATAAATAAATGTATAAAAACAAAAGAAAGAATTAAATTGACAAAACCTTCTTGGACTGGGGCAATTTCCAAACATGGCCAGTTAAAGACCTGCTGTAAAAACAATGACATTTCAGTGTGATATGCAAACATGTTGTTGCAAGGTCGGGGGCCGACATCAAAGACCAAACTGGGAGACAAGCACACATGCACATGAAGGCCGCAAGGTGATATGACTTAGTCTGGACCTGACTCCAGACGTGAATGCAGCTTTGATTCTGCACCGTGAAGTCATTTGCAATTACGCTGTGAGGCTAAGGCTACTATCAAAACGGTCCCATTCCGGCTGGAGATGGAGCAACAGCCTAGATTGGACTTCAAATAGCCATGCATTTCAACCCTCACAAGATGGCAGGAAATTTCAACACATAACACACGAGCACATTGTCCAGTGCATTTAAATTGAGAAGGCAATGAAAGGTATTTAGAAGGTATGACTCTGCTTCTTTTCTTTCTTGAAATTTTCCCTCAACAGGTACAAGAGTCTTTATTTTCTAGAAAATGTCTATGAAGGGAACTTGGCTGCGTGAAATCTCCTAAACTGTTTCTTGTAATGCCTTTAGACTTACCTTTCAAACAAACTTTTATACATCTCTTAATTATAAACAATGATGGTTCCTATCACACGATCTGAAAAATATCATGACTCAGCACTTGCTTTGTTACCAAACACAAAAGATAGAAAATCACTGATATTAAATTTAGGGGGCTGCAATGAACCTCAACAATGGATGATAAAATCAAAGGAGTCGGTACTTTACCCAAGGAGTTTACGAGCCTCTGCTGGTCTATCCACAGCTACGATGATGAGCTTCCCGTCTCGTAGACCTACTAGAATCTGGCTCTTAGTGGGCACAACACTGACACAGTGGATGGGGACGAAGAGCGGCATGGTGGTGCAGATGTCCAGGCTGGTGTCAAAGACAGAGGACAGATTTTAGTTGAAATGGTTCACATCTCTGTGACTGGACGCAGATGGCAGTTGGAAACTCAATCTAAAATGGTTTTTTCAGTACTGAAATTAAAACCTTGCTACCTACTACCATCATAAGAACAAAAGATTTTTCACGGAATCAAAATTGTAATTTGAAGCTTTGCCCCAAAAAAGGAAAAAAAATTAACAAACTGAACTAATCCACAAAACCTAGTTTTATTATTATTGTTATTATGGTTTATTTCACTTTGCCTTTACCACACCCCAAAGGCTGAATTGCACAGACATTACAGAGCAATTAAGACATAAAAAAATTTTGAAATTATCAAAAACGTGAAATCACTAAAATATTCATAAACTGAGATAGAAAAACTTACGACCATGATGCATACTCACAAAAAAGCCACAAAACAGTCAAACAAACAGCCACCAAAAACAAGTAGCGAAAAGGATAGGAAAAATTCGATAGTAGGGATATCAAAAATATTTACAATTATAATGTGCAAAATCTGTTTGGAAAAAGGATAATTTAAGATACATGTATATTAAGGACCAACGCTCATGGACCAAAACATACCATTGGTCATTGAATAAAGATTGCACTTTACAATGTGTGTGTGTTTAAAAGCCCCATCAAATATGGAATAGGGCTTTGAGCATATTTTTGAGTGCGGGCCTTAGGAACAGACAACAGGCTTGAATTCCGTAACACACGACCACTATCCTCAGCTTTCCAGCTGGATTGAAAACAAGCCTCTAAAGAGTTGACTTAAGCCTCGTTTTTAGACAGACCTAGACGGAGAAATAGACCCTACAGACACCCACCCAAAGAGTCTCCTGATAGTAACTGTGCCCTTCTCGTCAGCCGTCAGAAGAAACTCGCCAGTGATGTTGATGTGAGTGATCTTGCTGGATAGCGTAGTGTCACACAGGTGCTTGCCGTTGATGGAGTAAATGTGGAGGGAGCACAGCTCCTGATAAACAGAGTTTCGTTTGCTCATTAATGTCACCCTGTGAATATGCCACCACTACAAATTAATGGGTCAGAATTTTCTAAGAACAGCAACTTCTATGACTACATAAAACTGCACTTGGAGATCTTTCACAATGCAAAGGAACTCGTGTTTTCACCTCTGGAAATTTTTTCTGGCTTAAGATCCCTGTGTTTAACCAGCCAGGTGGAATTTGCATGGGATTGTCAAGATTTTCCCATTTTCAAATTCCTAAAAACACGAATGACTGTCTGGTGACTGCTCTAATCTGACAGGCAACCTCCATTGATGCCAGAGTATTTCAGCCAGGCCTGTCGCCTAGTAAAGAGATCCCAGATTGTGCAGTGTTGCGAAATTGCCCCAGTGCATTGCTGAATGCCAGTGGTGTCTTTTCAAATGCGGGCGGATTGGCGTGCAGCAGTACTGTATTGCTCATGGCTGAAACGCTTTTGTCCCCGCTGATAATCTGAGGCAATGAATGCCACAAACATTTGTAGATAGTTTCAAAACAATGATGGATTACCTCCACTAATGCTAACTGAAAAATGATGGTAAAGCCCAGCAGCTTGGTCTTTTGTTCCGAGTACAGTCTTTTGTAACAAGGCCCAGCTGCTTTGTCCGATTTCGGACACGCCCGGCTATGCATATAAAGCTAACGTCTCCGGTACCAGGCACCCCAGAGGCAAGTGATTAATACATCAATCTAAATAACTTCAAGTACATCTAATGCTGGAGTAGAACAATAATACGGCAGAATTGTTTGAACCCTCTGACGCAGAAGTCACTTATTGCGTCAGTTGGTCAGCAGCACAGAGATCAACAGCTGTGTCATTTTGTGCATAGCAATAAACTACCCCTCAGAGAGATATCAGATTATAATTGGTGCTATCCAATAACTGTGCTCCCCTGTTCCATTGGAATAACTATGCAGAAAACAAACTGGAGTGATGAACAGCAAAACATGGCATGAGTTCTTTTGCGCTATCAAACAACTTTATACACACTGAAGCCGTGCAAAACTGTACTTCATATAGAAGGCACATGCAAATGACTCGATACTGTTTAAAACTCATTTTGTAGGATACTGAGAGATTCCTTGCACGTGAATTGTACCTGGCTGGCTTTCTTGCCATACTGGGGCATGCAGACGGCTGCCACTTGGCCCTCGTCCGACAAGGCAAGAAGCGGGATGGTGAGTGGGGCCTGGGGGTCCAAAGCAGGGGGGCGTAACGTCCTGACATAGTGACCCTTCATGATGGTGTGAATAATGACCGTGCTATCCTGTGGGTTGAAGAAAGGGGTATGATGACAACAGGTGCCTTAGTATGAATCTCTTAATCAAGATCAGTGGGACTGAAACGGCTGAGTTTTTAGCTTTTACTTGGGAAAATAAGAAATTGAGCCAGGGATATACAGCAACTGCTGTATTTCTAACCCACTCTTGCCAATTCTTGGCTCAACTGCGGCTGTCATAAGCAATAGGCTCACACGTAAATTTTGAATACTGTAGACTAATAGCATTCAAGCTGTGAAAATTCACGGTCTCTGATATTACATGGGATCAACCAGGATTCTGCAAGAGTAAATGGGCAGGTGACAATTTGTACATTTCAGATCATTCCAGTTACGAGATATCTGCAGCCAATGTTTATTTCTGATGATTTTTATGGATTTGCAGCTTTTGGATTGTTCTGCCACAGATGAAAGTTCCATCCTGCCACACTTAGACACAGAGAGAACACACTTTAGCATCTCCACACTTCTTTTCTGGTGTACATGTACATGGAGTTTGAGTGTGTCACCCATCAACAGACACCTACCTTTGAGGCTGACACCGCCATGTCCAGCTCTGTGCTGATGGCCACGCAGCACACCTCGTCATCATGACCGCAGAGGGTCTGCACAGGCTGGCTGCCCACACCACAGGCAACCCCTCCCTAAGACATGGAACAGACAGAAATGCATGTGGTTAATTCCCAAATTTCTGACATCCTTCAAAATCCGCCAGGGGATTTCAAGCACGTACTCAATGTTGACAGCAGCACTGAGTGCTCCTTTTCCTCATCAGACTATTCCTTCTCTGGATGACGCCCTCATTTACACTAATGCTACTGGTGTTCAGTATCTCCGATTACTTTTATACAATTTGTATGACACTGTACTGGTAATGTTGGGTTTCGTCAAATGGAATACTAACAAGTTTGGCAGAATTTAAGAATGAAGCTAAGATGCCGTAACTTAACACTGCACATCAAACTGCACAAAATGAAGCCAAAATGCCGCGATACTTTCATTCTATTACAACAAAAGTTTCCAAACAATTCAGGAATTTGGAGTACAGCCGAAGTGCGCCTGGAGTAGTTTGGCTTGACTCTCATAGGTAAGACAATAAAGCAGCCTCAACAGCTCCAGCAAGCATCCTACAGAGCAAGAAATTTGATTCCTATGTTCATACGAAGTGGCTGCAGCTTGGAAAAATACATGCACCTATGGGAAGTCGCTAGTCGCAAGCAAGTGACTCTTAAAGGTACAGTAGACATGCTATTCTAGCCATAGCCACAAATTTCAGTCAGGGCCGTAAATCACCTGGTAGGCAATCTCCCAGATCATGCAGGTGGTGTCCCGGGAGCCTGTCATCAGCTGCATGCCGCAGTTGTCCAGCGCCAGGCAGGTGATAATGTCCGTGTGGTGGACCACATGGGCGAGGGGCTTGCCCTTGGCCACACTGAAGACCCGCAGGCTGTTGTCCCAGTGGCCGCCGGTCAGCAGCAGCTTGGCGTCATGGGTGGTGACGAATAGGGAGGGGGTAACCTTCAGGCCAGGCGCAAAGGGCCCGCTTACAGTCTTCCTGATTCTGCAGTGGAGACATTGGTATGAACAGAGTTTGAAGACGCTGGACAAAAACGGACAGCCTGTATAAATCAAGGCCACATCTGGACTAAATGTTGACCGATTGACCTGAACTAGGAGTGCAAATATTGGAATACATGGCTTGCCTAACAAAGGCAAGAAAGGTACCAGTGCAACAGAGAAAGCCTTCCATTCAACACTGGTATTTCAAGAGAAGCTGCACTGTATGCAGACCCACAGTTTGGTGCACGGTTGTTATTTAAGCAGGGGTGTTGGTTAGTTCTTAAGCAGTCACTTAAGCAGTGTACGTGCTAATTCTAACTACATTTAGGTAGGCCTAATGGCTGTAACAAGTCTTGAAAAGAGTGCTAAATTATATTTAGATGCTGCTAGGATGGGATTGGAACAACAGGTTCTCCCCCCTCGCACCATTAAAACTGGCTTGCTTGTTACATCAGGCCATACAAGCAGTAGTTATCTGAAACTTAATCAAAATGATTTAGGCTTTGTAAAGATTTGTCCTTGATGTTAATTAGTTGTGATGAATATTTAGTAGTTAGCAATGAATGCCCACTGCAGTTCTAATGATGCCACAAGTGAGCTCGGTGAGTGGCAATTCATAAACACCTCGGAAAGTTACTTTCTGCGAGGCGGACACGTGGATGGTCTTTAACAAATAAGAAAAGTACAAATTGGTTCGGAGTGTTCTCCTGGTTTCTGATAACTTGTTGACTCCCATTGTTATGGTTTCGAATCCTCATGATACATGACCATTACTGATCTAATTTATCATGACATGGCAAACACAATGCATCCAGTGAGCCCGTACGTCATTGAGTCAAACTTTATCCTCCACAGGCACTGCTGCGTCTTGTCACACAGTGAGTATTGTGCAAAGCAATATCCATATAAGGAGACTTTAAGCTCTGTGCATTAGAGGCATGTACCACTGGTACAAAACGCTAGGTAAATTTGATGAACAAAATCAATAAATATAAAAACATTTGACTTTCATTGGACTGTTACGCAAAAAAGTATTTATGAATTGGAAAAAAAAGTGCCTAAAAGATTTTAAACTAACACATTGAAAACAGCATGGAAGTGTGGCGCCCAGTTTCTCAATCAGTTTCACAAGTTAAAAACTGCAAAATCACACTTTTAATCCCTTAATAAACACCAGACCACCGAGGAAGATTATGTCAACACAAAGTACTAAGATTTTTCATCCCGGACGGTTCACACTAAATTTTCATGTGTGAAATAAAAAAATACTAATTAGAGGAATCAAACAGTCACAGGCCATGTTACCAACAAAAACCTAAAGAAAGCAGACGAAGGAAATGGGCATTTTAAGTTGCTCCAGGGAAGCCATTAGAGTTTAGCAGCACAATGGTGACTAGAAGACAAAGAGTGACTTGGTTATTCAACTCAGAGTGATTCCTTGACTTACATAAACTTAGAAATGCGTCTGTGGTTCCTAAGAAAAAGAAGTTCCAGTAGGAAAAAAATGGAACCAAACATGTCAGTTAAAGTAATATGGAAGGGCTGCGTAGCACCGTGATTAGAATAACGACAAGAATATAATATCAAATCAGTGCTCTGATATATGTGATTGCCGAGCTTTCGGTAACTGAGTACCTTCTTCAGGGCAAACATATTCAAAAGTGATTGGAAGGCAATCTAGGCACACTCAGAGAACCTTTCTGACAGTTTCACAAATGAAATGGCAATAGCTTCAACTCCTTTGATATTTTAATGCTTAGCAGCTGAAGGCTTCATTCACAATCCTGTGCAGAATAGAAAACGCGAACATCCATGAAAGAAACTGAATAATTCAAGACTGACTCACTTTGCATTGATGAGTGAGGAGTCTCTGTCAAATGTGAAGTAGTTGGAGATGGACTTGTCGTAAGGCAGCCATCCATGCGACCCTAGTGTCCCCTTCTCTGTCACAGTCACCTGGGGGGACAGCAGAATGAAGATTTATATTGGCATTTTGCATGCAAGGTATGGGTTTATATGTCCTGATTTTGGTTCTCAGTTTGGATTCTATTTATCAGTACATCTGCTGCAAGTGACATACTGAACTATAATGCCTACCGACCCGTTCCATGGGTAAGCCATCTTGCTTTTCTACTATTCAGAGCAATGTAACCCAACAGGCCGGAAGGAAAAATAGTCTGTTCACTTTTATCACTACGTGAAGTTGTATTACAATTGCCAATGAGTCTAAAGGGAACAACACAAAGGCATGTGAATCACTTGTTGCAAAGACCAGGCAGAACAAGGTCATCAGGAACTTGACAAGCGCTGACTCTTCGGCGAGCGATATCAGTGAATTAGATGCAAACTGTGACCCAACCCAGTATAACAAAATGAAAGTCAACACAGTAGCTTTGGAGTTTAGCCTTTGAGCAAATCTTGATCAAAATCAAGGCAAGCTACCCACATTTTAGCCCATGTAATGTCCACATGCCCCCATTATGTGATGCACTGAAATGAACAGCAGAGAAAACGTTCAAATTTACAAAACAGGCCTACTAAATGACAAACACAAATCGAAATTTGCATATTCATAAGTAAAGGTGTGATGATATCCTAGGAAGAAACCTTGATATTGTTTTTTAATAATTGAGTAACACAATATGGGATAATTTGCTTTCTTAAAAGCTCCTTTTCTTTGGTGATTGGCTGTTCTTTCAACTCATGACAGTTAACCAGAAAAAATTCTCTGAAAAAAAATTGAGAAATCTTTCAGTTCATATTTTAAAGAAAAAGAAGTCTTTCATACTAAATGAGTTTTCCTCTAACGGCATCACAGCAACAGCCCTCTCATTTGTCAAAAAAAGTATGGAAAATTTCCAATGCGTAAGCAAGCACACTTTCAATACAATTAAAAAAAAAGAGATGTCAAACAGTTTGTATGCATTCACGAAGAAGTACAAAGTTGCATAAGAATTTGTACATTGCAATCTGACCCTTGAAAAAACCGAAAGTTTTTTATAACTTACCATGGCATCAGGCATCCCTTGGTAGATGAAGGACTTGGGCTGGCTGCGAGGGACATGGACATAGACCAAGGGATCACTGTCGGAGGTGGAGACCTCAACGAAGAAGGCCTTGAGCTCGCTCAGGTGGTCAAAGACGTTGAGGAGCTGGGTCTGGTTCTTGGAAGCTTTCCGGCTCAGTTCCTCTACGCTCATCCGCTTGGGGTGGGGCTCCTTCAGGAGCTGGCAAGGCGTCTGGCCAAAGTTGTTGATCATCCCCTCCACTGCCTCCCGCTCCAGGGGGTCCTTGATGGCATCCAGGTCCACTGCTCCTATTGGCCCAAAAAAAGTGTACATGGGCTGATGCCATGACCTTTACCCTCAGGGGTATTTTGGCAAGAAACCCTACCAGATGCATCAGACTGCATCATTTGTCAAAGTGGCAAGCCTGCCCAGTGCAAGAAGATACAAGATCCAACAGTGGCATTGTCCAATGGGACTAGCTTCCACTTGTCTAAACATGGGCGGTTATTTTGGTTGCTGTTGATTGCCCAGTGCAGCGAAGTACACTAAGACTTTTATGCCCACTGCAATGTGCTGTCTGGCAAGGTTAGGGTAACTAAGCCATGCCCCTACACAGTAACAAGATGTGTGTTTCTCCAGTGCCTGACGGCATACATGCTACTGCAATGTCCTACTAACATGTCTGCCGTACACCCAAAAACGCATGTTGAAAATTGAGCTGTAACTGGGTCAAAACATCAAGGAGCAACATTAAACAGATCAATCCATTCTCAAGTCTGGTGACCATTTGAGATCTTCTAAGCCATCGGGCTTGATCAAATATATAACACATAATCCATCATCCCTAAATCAGCCTGAAAAAGGAACCAAGTTTTTCCAGTTTCTGTGTGACTGACTACAAATACTTAACTGCTTTAATATTACACAAAGCACAATCAAGTTTGGAACAATTTGGCTGCAGTTTCTGACAAGAGCACAATATCTCAGATAAGTTGTGCTTTCAGCTACGGAAACTTCCTCCTGACTTTAATAAGCTTATTTGGAATCAGCATGTCACAAATTACAGTAAGCTGTTTTCTCAAGACACACCTTCATGTGGCAACAAAATTCTGTTGTTAAAATACGCCAACTTTTACTAATAAACGACACAATAGACAAATAAACACATCAAAGCATAGGAGCGAATGAATTTCCTTGATACTTGCCCCCTAAACCTAATCTTGGGAACCAGATTTCGATCAAGGAGATCTGTGCTGATCCAGCATGCACAATCACGTAGTTAACTTACAACACCTGTATGTGCATACCACTTTCAGAATCAACTCAAAATGAATATTTCAATCAGCAAATGTTTCAGCGGTCCTGAAACTCAGGACCTGATCTTAATGGACAGCCTGCTTCGGCTTCTCCTACCAGGGATTGACTCGACGGACCGATTGACTTACCCTCATAGGTGCAATAATAGAAGACATTGAGAGCCTCTATTGCTGCAGGTCCCTTCTGTTTGTAACCAAAGATGAGATCAATCCAGTGATGTAGATTGGCTGAGACATGCTCGCTCTCCTGTGTGGGCGAATGAAAAAAAAACCATTATTGAAATGAATGATAAGCCAGTTCAGTGACAAACTCTCACCTTCTCGGTAGCTGATATCAGAAGTAATCGTAGGTTTTGAAAGAAAATCTTATTTACCAAAAATAAGGAAAGAACTGTTTACAAAAATGACATTTACGCTTTAAACACAAGCTAGCAAGGTATTTTTACTGACCAATGCTTGCCGGTGTTTGTTGATAAAATCTTCTGGTGAGGAAGCCCAATTTGGCAGGATGACATCATTGACACGTTCACCAGTCTGGAGGTAGCCAAGGTCAAAATCTGCATAGCACATGACCCAGATAAATTCAAATTCTCCAATCAAAGTGCACTAAGATATGAGTGATGCATTTTAAAACAGCCTTTTGGCCAAAAATTAAATTTAAGCTCTTTTCACACAAGGTTTTTAACCTTACACTGGTGTATTTATCCACACTGTATTCTCTGTGAGGTCCGAGAGTTGCAGGGTTCCTACACCTAAAGGACAATAAAATTCCATGACTTTTCCGTGACTTTTCCATAACCAAATTATGAAAATCCACAACCAAGTAACACAATTTCTTGGACTATTCGGCCTTTTAACCTGCAAATAAAATTACAGATTTTATGCACTTCTTTCTGATAATAGAAACCACACAGTGTTTTATGACTTCCATGACAAAATTCCATGACTTTTCCAGGCCTGAAAAGGAAAAACAAATTTCCAAGACTTTTCCAGGCCACGGGAACCCTGCGTTGTTCAAACATTACAAGGACGTTCAGGAGGGAATTGGACCCATGACTTCCTGTGCACTAGTTCCAAGGTCTTCACCACTAGTCCACTAGGTTTGCTGGGAATGGGTGGCTGGCTCAAATCCAATGCAGCAGTGAGTGCTGCAAGCAGTCAGTGATTTAAATCTGGTCAAGTGGTTTGGACATCAGCACTCATAAGCAGGAAGTAATGGGTTTGAATCCCAATTGAGCAATGCTGTAATATTTTAGCAACTCTCATATCACAATGAGAACACAATGAGAATATGCACAGCAGTGTAAGGGCAAAACCTGGTATAACATTCCCAGACACAAAGCCAAATTAATACCAAATTCAAGCTCCTTGACAACAACCTCAGACATATGGAAATGTGTCCAACAACTCGGCACTTGTTCTAAGACCCCCAAGTGGGAGGAATCACAGAACAAATTTATGTTTAGCGCATGTTGTGTGGCGACTTGATGTATGGGGTCTGTAAGCGCAAACTCTGAGCAGAGCGTCAGGGAGTGTGAATCCAGCTGCTGGCCATACACTGGGCAAGTCACTTCTCCCCTGCTTGCCTCTCATGAGTATAAATGGGTACTTGTATTAGCTGGAGAGCAACTTGTGATGGACTAACATTCCATGCATGGAAGGAAATACAATCGGTCTCAACTGTTTCTAGCCACAACAAAACCAGAGATAAGCACCAGCCTGATGCCCCATAGTGGCTTGGGACTGACTTACTACTTTCTAACCCCTACAGTATGTCAAATTTGTACTGACATCGAAAGATTTGCGAGTATTACTGTAAACATCTTTAATTGACAGATTGGCAGAAAAATGTTCTTACTATTTCTGTTCTCAAGGAATTCTGGCATGTAGAAGAACTCTGGGATGAGTTCCTTGACGTCATTGGGGTTTTCCATTAGTGTGTCCCACAGAGATGGAATGCTGTGGAACTGCCGATCGGCACAGTCAAACCTGACAGGGACACAAAGATACTCATCAGTGAAAATTATCTGCAGCTTTAGTTTGTTAGTCTGACTGTCGCTAGCTCAGCCTCTGAAGCCTGAATGTTGCTGAACAGTGTAGCTGGGGAAACTTACTAAAATAAGAGGGAAATCGTAGTGAAAAATCTCGTATTTAATACTCGAGGCCATGGAGGATTTATTAAACTAATTATGTCAAAATGTCTGATTATCCTTTGGGTTGACTGGGTCATAAATGTAACCACGTAAGTTTCTTTGTTATACTTCAGAACTACATGAACTTTAAGCTCTCTGAAGACATTTTCATGAATCAGTGCCAGAAACGACACAAAAACTCAGAAGCTTGTATCAAGATTTGGCTTCTAACAAGGGGTGGGACTAAGGCAGAAGAGGAGGTATGGGAATCAACTTACTTTCCGCTCTGGAGCTGTATGTGGAGTGATGTGAATGGCTCCACGCGCACCAGGTAGTGCATGACACCGGCTGCGTTGGAGTAGTGAGTGCCGTAATGGAATTTGTCGATGGTCCCCGTTGGGTCTTCAAAATTCTCGAACCTGACGTCAATCAAAAGGAAACAATTGCTCAGTGCAAAAAAAGTGAGATGTGCTTAAGTCTTGCTCTATATTTATTTTGTTGTGAGAGAAATTGGAGACAACTCATACCTTTGCCAACTTGCACCCTCCCTGCTCGGTTCTGAAGTGCGATTACGTAATTTTACGTCTCATCAAGATGAGAGAATCTCGGTTCCCAAACACTTACCAGTATTGTAGTCAAGTCTTTTCACAAATCCTTTCCCCTGACCAGTCATAAGTAACTGGATGAACAGTGACAAAAGGATCTTTTTGTCACGGTTCATTTGAATAGCTGTGAGCTTGGCTTACACAAGATAAATTGTGATGGACTTGGGATGGGCTCAACTGTAACACCGATACTCACTTGCTCTGGACTTCCTCAATGTTCTTTGGGTTGACCACACCAATGGGCTTGGTGAGATCCCTGTAGACCTTGGGATCCTGTAGGTCCAGAGTCTCGCAGGTGTAGTCACACAAAATCCATGGAAACTGCCAGGGCCAATAACGCAAGAAATAGTGACTGCTGCGTGCAAGAACCTGGTGCTCAAGGCAAAGCAATAAAAACTTAGCTTCTAGAGATGATCTTTGGATCAGTCCTTTTTCCAAAGACATAACAGTCTGGAAATGGAACAATGCATGGATAATTGTTGTCTTAGTCTTACCAAAGATTTATTATAATAAAAACAAGCAGCAGTCCACATTTCACCGATAGTCGTCCTACTCCTTTGACAAAATGATATTTCAATTGTTTTTCCTAACACAAATTGTACACATACAAAGCCTTTTGTCAAATTTAAAGTCCAATGACTGTGTCTAAGAGCCCAATAGTAAATTACAACACCTTGGTGGGTCAATAAAGGGTCAAAACACATTTCACACATTTTCAAGAAATGACAGAACCTTTTAATACCAAACAAATGCATTTAACGGCAGACAAAAAAATTATTCCAGTTTGAATTGCTAACTGCAAACTCGCCTCAACATTTAACTAGTTTTCAAAGCAAAGTAAGTCAAAGAAGTATCAACAAAATGAGATGAATTTTGAAACCAAAAATGAAAAAGTTTAGGAGGCATTAAGTACTGAATTTCAAGACTTAAGATTGAAATATGTTTTAAAGAATCTTCCAGTGATCAACTTTTGTGTGTGCTGTGACTGTATCTTCTTTTGATCCATGCTAAGCAGTGGTGTATATTAACCTCTTCTGAAATCAAAGTCGAAGTCTTATTCAAAAGTTGAAATCTTCCTTTCTTGATGTGCAAAGGTACAGTTGAAAAACAGAACTGACTGAACTCTAACCACCCAAATTCTTGAATAATGTTGGATTGAGCGCTGTAATGCTGAAAATTTCCATCACGTTGAGTATTGAGCTGCTTACCACAGGGTACTGGCTGAGGTCATTGTAGGTCCTGCCCGCGATGGTGTTGAGTTGCATCAGGTAGTCAAAGTTGGAGATCTCCCGGTTCACCCACTTGGTGGTCAGGGTGGAAGACTTCAGCAGGTCTGCAGGTGACTTGGCGCCGGTGTAGTACAGGTTGGGTGGCTTCAGGCTCAAGATGCGGCTGTAGGCTTTGTTTCTTGTCTAAAGTGCCGTGAGTTTGAAAAATACAAGTTCCAAGTCAAAAGGGTTGATTCTGAAACATCATAAGTCTCAAATGTTTAGTTGAGATAATGGAGACAAACACTCCATTCATTAGTTAATTGCTTTTCGAGGCAACCTTAGTTTTTTCTTACACCAACTAAATCTGCCAAGAGTAAGATATGTGTATGGGTTATCAGCATTTAAATAATGATAAATGCGTGAAATCATGAACAAGAAGATGTCTGATTTATACACTTTTATGGCCACTCATCATTTTAACCAAATGACAGTGTTCAAGTAATTTTCTAACTGCAACAATTTCAACTTTCAACCTGAAAATTAAATTTGTAAGGAGCTCAAGTGCAAACTAAATTCATCAAGAATGTGGTGCAATGCAAGTATTCAGGCATACTGCAGTAGATATATTACACGTAAATCTTTAAATTAAAAAGCAGATTAGAGGAATTCTCATGAAATTTTTCTTGACTTGATCTACGGCAGGATTACTAAAAAAAANCCTACACAACATCGATAAAATTTCTCAAGCTCAAGAACACAAAAATCAAGGTTATTCGTGTTGTTTTGGTCACTTACTTGAAAGGCACTTATGTACACAACTATCACATTGTCTGGTCAATATCTATAAAACAAGTCTGGCTTAGGGACCAGATATCTTTCCACCTTTTTGTCCTTGAAGTTAATGAAGTAGTTGGTCTGGCTGATGAAGAAGATCTCGATGGCGCTTCGTCTGAGGTTGTAACGTCGTAGATGAACCTCTCGTAGATGGGACAGAGACCATTTGAAGTCCTGACCGGCATCTATGAATGTGCACATGCAAGAATCCAACAATATCAATATCAGAAATTACCCTCTGTAGAAAAAATGATGTGGAACTGTACAATTCTTAGTTCAGGGGAATTTTAGCAGGTATACATCCTCACCATTGCTCTTTGACACATGAAGTACTCACAGCGCAATATAGAAGATGTCATTGCTACGACTTTACAAAATGTGGCACAGGCTGCCATTACAACTGACTCCAAACAAATGTTTATCCAACTTCAACTCAGCCACACAGAATCGCGGAAATATTTACCAAACTCACAATTCCAACAATGTCCTTGTTACAAGATAGCCTCACTAAAGCACCGGAACAACTTTACGCTCATTTGTTCTCATCAACAATGCAAACTGACGTCATAAAACCTTCATTTCCATAATGCTCAATTAAGCCTCCAAGTACTTGTCGGTGTCTAAATTTATCGATGTTTTGATTCTTCAATGACAATGTTCTTTTTAATTTCTTTCAGGGTATCTGAGAGACAAGCTGAAAACAAGTTAAATCAAAAATTTGAAACATTCTACACAAGAAACTTTTTCAGAAAGTGGATGGCGTTATGAAGACAATGGTTCCCTTTGAGAATCTCAAGGCGGACCACTTACTTGATTGTTACTGTAGATCAAACTGTAAACATGATCACACAGAAGAAAAAAAAAATCGCATGATTCATTACATTGGAAATGGAACATTCAACTTTCAGGCCTATGCTCAATCTCAGCACAGTCCCACGATACTGACTTTCTTCTTTATCCGGACTGTTGTCATAGAAGTAGACATGCGTCGTGGTGACCTCCAGCTTGCCTGGGATGACGTCGACTAGCGTGATGAGGTTACACTCCTCTGAAACCACCGTCTTCTCTTTGACAGCTCCGCCCTGTTCAGTCTCAGTGCTGTGGCAAAGAGACAATACACAGAAATTTGATCATGAATGATCATCCAATCGTATCTGATAAATCATGCACCCTTTTCTTTCTAAGGGTAGATTATCAACATAATCTACTCAACAAGTACGCAATGTTTTAAAGGCATTTTATTATGAAGTCAAATTTGTTGCCATTTGTATTTTATGAATATACTTGTATTTATAGTTCTTGTATTCCAAACAAGAATCAAAGAGTTCTCATTACTAATTCGGGAGATTGTGCATTTAACTGCCTTGGCAACATATAAACCATCAGGATTCCACTGAGTTTTTCCTCTGATGTAAAATCATCCCCCAAATCTCACCAAATAGCATTTTCCAATTATTAAAAGGCATTATTAATAGTCTTGCGTTACAAAAATGTTTCACTTCATCTAACTACATGGTCATGTATCCTACCTTTCTGAGATAATATTCCATTCTTCATCCCCTAGCCTGTCATCTTGCAGCTCCATGTCGCTGACTCTAGCCTCTTTCACGATTTCCAAGGATAGCGTGTCAGTGGCTTCCGCAACTGGTCCTAGCAATGAAACAAAATATGCAAAATCGGGTTTAAAAAAACACTTATGACAGGGAAATCCTTTTGGTAGAATATAGAAGTGATTTTTTCAATTTTTTTCCCTCCACATGAATGCTATCTCTCTCAATCGATGGAATAACACAATAACCAGTTTTAACCCACAAAACATTTGGAATACAACAAATGGTGGCATCAGCACTTTTAGACCCTGTGGGTACCATGTCCTTTGTGAGAACATTCCTTCATTATTGCTATTTTTTGCATTTGTCACATGCATTTGTCATCTGGTAAGAGACAACCAGGATTTGTTTTTGAACATTCTACCTTTGTATACATCAGTTTCATGGAGTCAGTTGGCCAAGATGGCTTCCACTGCCTGCTAAAGAAACATCTAAAGTGCTATGTCAGACCAAAGCCTAGAGAAGTTTCATTGGCATGTTTCTGGTTGGTAATTTTCCACTAATTTTCATGCAGTGCTAGCTTCAACTTTTTCACCAACAGCTCAAGATTAAAGGAAGAGTTATTAAAAAATTTGCCACTCGGTGATAGCTGAACAAATGCTTGAACATAAGTCTGGAGACTACGAAGAAGCTGACTTGGGGAGGTGCAAAGCAGCTTATCTGGGAAATGGTCCAGGGAAAAAGCTTCAGAGCTTAGCAGCAGGTAAAGATCAGTCTCCAACACACGAGTGCAAAGGTTGGGCCTCCAAAGATAGCATCCAGTGACTTCCAGCCATCAGTCTCAATGTACTATCCACTCAGTATTAGGGGCGAGTTTGTCAAACAAATATCTGGATCTCGATCAGTGGTCCCAACACTGGTTTCCTACATCCATAAGGTTGGTCCTGGTTGTCAGTGAACCAATGACAGATTACTGATCCAGATCTGGATCCGTGTGAAACAAACAGGCACATCAGCGGATTGTACATGCCGGCATACCTGTGTTATCTCTCATTTGACTGGCGTCTATGTGCTGGTCAAACATGAAATTCTGAGTGAGCTTCAGATGCATGCGGGAGAAGTTTTCCTGAGCAGACAGCTTCCAGTAAATGTGCTCGTCCGTTCTAAGGGAAAATGACAATTTCAAACTGTTAAATACATAATATATATATATGAGGAGTTGCCAATGAAGGGCTGGATAGCTCAATTGATAGAGTACTGGTATGGTATTCCGGAGGTCGCAGGTTCAAGTCCAACTATAGTCTACTGCTTTGTTCATCTTTATAAATATTTCTTTTACTGGTTCTGCTTTGCTGGCTGCCAGATAAGCATTTCTTAACACCTGTGTGAAGACAAACATGCTTCTTACGACTTTCCAAAATAGCGGGAAAAACAGAGAGACTAATAGTGATTTTATTCTCCAATAGAAATGCCCCACTGATCCTTGAGAAGAGCAAATGTATCTGAACATGTCAGGTGATGAAAACTTGACAGATGATGGACAGTTGGCAACAATGTGCAGCAAACCATCAACAACAGCTGTAGATCTACATTTAATTGATGAAATGTAGTCAAGATTTCTTTATGCTAAATAAAATTTTGTTTTTACCACTGGGCTGTGTGTTACTGTCAGGGACTTATGCCATCTATCAGTTTACTGTATTTGTCATACATGTATCTATCGTTTCATCAAGCATTTAAAGAGCAACTCTAAGGAAAACACGTTTTCTCTGATTTTATCTGTTCAAATAAATATGGAAGAATCCAACTCGAAATGCAGTGTCAGTTGTCTTCAAAGCTCAACTATAACAAGCTTGTCTGTATTAATAGGTCTAGTCGGTAAAGCATCCCATGAGCATTTAGAGCTCACATGCATGTAGCCACTGTTTGTAGCCATTGTTTGGCATGCACAAGGTTTATCCACTATGAACACAGGGCAAGGGTTCCCCTCATTTTCTCCGTTTTCTAAGAATGACGCAATCTACATTCAGCATGTTCAGAATTCGCATCTTGGCATGAACAGAAAAAAAGCCCCTTTTAGCTTGTTATAGTTGAGCTCTGAAGACAACTGACACTGCATTTCGAGTTGGATTCTTCCATATTTATTTGAACGGATAAAATCAGAGAAAACACGTTTTCCTTTGAGTTCCTCTTAAAACAAGAGTCCAGGCTAAAAGAAACTGCGATGTGACTGATCTGGAAAAAACCAGCAAGAGTTTGTACAAGAACTTGGAGATAAAAATGAAATCTGAATCAGTTTTGAAGAGCCTTTATGATACAGTAAACAGTGGTACATTGCATGTTTTGTACCAGCATTGTACGCATGTCAGTGAATCCTCTCAGCGTTGGTTTATGCTACCTTTCAGCCCAGGCCCCTCTCTCCCCTGTCAAGAAGCGCTTGCTGGCCCTCCACTGTCGCAGTGTGGACTGGTGCTGGTTCTGCAGCTTGTTCAGAATGCTGGCATGTCTTGTTGTCTCCGTCTTGCATAAGGTGCTGAATGGTTCGCTAATCTTAGCCTGATTACGGAACAAGGTCGTCAAATATGAAAGACATCAACCTCGGGCAGTGCATTTTTGGGGGGAGTGATAGTTAATTATATATAACGGGTTTGCCCTTACCCAACGTATATTAATATACGTTGGGTATTAATAAACATTTCTTCACGCTGATTGATTCAAAGTCTTGACTCCAGTGTGAATGAAAATCATTGAAATTAACAGCCTCGTGTCCCAAGAAGAAACGAGTAACTTCTTCATCAATGATGCATGGGACACAGGCCCCACTCATTGACCACAGAGTAACACGTGTCCCATCATTTCAAAACTAGGCTGAGGAATCATGAGGGAAAAGCTTGCAAAATGATACCAGCATAAGAACAACGTAAATTCAACAACTTTCACTGCCTATAACTACCACAGCTTTCTGCAAACAATCTCTACAAACATGGGGTAGTTTGAAGACAGCATAACAGTTACATTTCAACAGATTAACAATTATAACGAAATGTCACATGCATGAGTACATATACCCCTTGCACCCCACCCCCAATCACCAGATGCTACGCCACCACAATGACTGTTGGTATTTTTTTTTATTCACTTGGAATCGGAGCTTGCTCTCTCCTCTCTCCCGTTCCCGTCGGTGGATATCCGTGTTCATCAGGTCAAAACACTTCCTCCACAGCTTGCCCATCTTGGCCGAAATGCTGGAGAAATTGAGGGTCAGGTACTCCTGCATGAAAGGTTTCACCTGACGAAAAAGGCAAAACAATGTCTAAAAATAACAAATTTCTGCAGTTTCCATTTTGGATTTCCTTGGAATAATGCGCACTGCTAGAACACCACTGTAATCAAAATGGTGACATCTACTGAAGACTAAAAAGACAAGACTCAAGAAAAATTGGCATCGCTCTTTTTATGGGATCCATGTACACACGAGGCAAGCAACAACATCCTTGAAGCCTGCCCATAAGCCTGCACATTACATGCCCTCACAAAGGCAAGGAGTACACAACAATTATTTTCATGTTAGACTGGGTAAACCCATAAGTTTCCTGAGGTTTTCTGAACCCCTTCACGCTGGGACTCTTTTGACCGTGACTGCTGGGCTGCGGTATGCCCAGCATGCAAAGCCCTACCCAGCAGCAGGCCCACATTGAAGCCGCAGGTGCATGAATAGAATGTATGTGTGGTATGCACTAATCCCTCCCACAGAGCCGCGGATTTTGCCGTCTCCCAGCTCGAAGGGTTAAGGTGTTGAGAAACTTTCACCACTATATTGGAGTGGTCTTGCCATACCTGTTTCTCAATGTAGCTTCTCCACTCTTCAGAGCGGCAGTAGGATTGGAAGTCCTCAAAGAATGTGGGGCTGGTGTCGGTGGTGGGGAGATGGGGCAAGAAGTTAGGCATACCCAGCTGCTTGTGGTATAGCTCAATCATGGCACGGGTGAGCGGGATAAGGTAAGCGTAGGTCTCGCGCTCCCGAGCTGAAAACAGAAAAGAAAAAAAAGACAAAGCTCAGTCATTACTATTGTGACTTCCTCAGGCCTCATCTTGCAATAACTTGAGTTCCATTGCAAACATAGGTCAGGCCTCATCTTGCAATAACCTGAGTTCCATTGCAAACATGGGTCAGGCCTCATCTTGCGATAACCTGAGTTCCATTGCAAACATGGGTCAGGCCTCATCTTGCGATAACCTGAGCTCCATTGCAAACATGGGCTTCGTGTGCCCAATTTTTTTTTCTGAAAGAAAAACAACAGTTCCAGATGTTTGCGACACTACGTTGGAGTTGGAAGTTTCAAGAAGATTCTTAGAAAGGATACCGAGACAACTGGAAGTATTTTGGTCCTACAGAATGTGTAACTGTAAAGGTTTTGTTGAAACTAATGATCAGTTTAGATGTAAATCTCATAAACGTGTACAACCACAACATTTGAGTCAGTTCAGTGAGAGGAAACACTGAACAAGAAGTATTTGTGATATAACTAGAACAAAGTTCCAACAGTTTAATTCTAATTCCATAAAACCTGAAGAAGTGCTAACAAAATATAGTCTTTGAGGGACCATTTCCCCTGAGGAAGCGCTCAACCCACGTACCATCAAGAGACCTCATGAGCGCTGAGTCCAGCGAACCCAGCAGGAAGCAGGCCTCGCTGGGGGAAGGGATGGGCCGCGTCTGCAGCAGGTGGTGGAGCCGGGCGGCCGCCGTGGCACACACCTCGATGTCGTCATGGGCGGCAAAGCCGAGCATGATGCGCAGGCCCAGCTGCGACATCTCCGCCCACTCGTCAGCCGCCGTGGTGTCCTCCCACACACACAGGGCATCAATCACGTCGATGACGGCTTCCGCTAACTGCTTTTGAAAAAGAAAAAAAATTGTTAAGTAAAAAGAAATGATAATATCCCCTGACTTCTGTCTTACAATGAAAATTACCAGTACAGATGCATAGACTTACTTTGCACTTGCTTGATTTTGTCGTGTCAGTACTATAAGGTCCTTACTGAAAAACTGCACTAAAATGTCCGTACTGAAATGTATTTGCTTTAAACATGAAATAAAGCACGACAATTTAGTGAAATAGACAGAATTTTAAGTATCATATTTAAATTTTTTTAATTGGAATTTTTTGTTAAGTATAAGTCTAAATACAAGCAAAAAGGTCATCACCTTGTCACTCCAGGCATGGCTGTCCTCCTGATCCTCACCAAACAGGAAGTCCTGAACCAGCTTCATGAGCCAGAGGGCGTTCTCAGCATGCGTCAGGTGGTCGCTGGAGCCTGCATTCTTTATGTCATTGGCTGACACCTCCAGGAGCTTCTCCAGCAGGTGACGCTTGATCTGGTTTGCCGGCCGCAGGAGCTCATACTTCTCTGCGAGCTTGGACAGGCTCACAAATATCTGGCCACGTGCCTACACAAGTGAGTAAGAGCAGGATTTTTCCAAATGTACTCTGCGTTGGGGAGATTTATATTTAATTACGGGTTTTGCCTTTACCCAACGTACATAATTCACAAAAAATCCACTTTGCTTACTTGGGTGGGACTCAAACCCACTTGGGTGGGATTTGAACCCAAGTAAGCTTTTGAATTGTTTCACAAGCTCTCGGACAAACACTGAGTATAGTGTTTATAAATATATACGATGGGTAAGGGCAAAACCCGTAATTTGAAATTAAAAGCAGCATTTCAAACATCTGATCTACAAAACAGTAATAAAACTCTGCCAAAATCAACCCACTACATGAGTATCATCAAGGGTGAGGCTGGAAGTTGATGAAAAAAATCAACGAAAACTCTAATGCTGGGTTGTACGATGACTACATGCTGTGACTGTCGGGCTGGACAGACTCTGAATCCTTAACTTCTTTAATACACGCGCAAAAACTTGGGAAAGATAAGTGTGGAAGAAAATCTTCACGGGCCACTGCAGCAGCAACAGGGTTAACAAATTTTCCCAAGGAGATTTAATGACCATCACAACTTTGCTGAATCATCAACTGTTAACACATGGTAACACCATGTATTTATCTCTTCTTTGAGTATGTGTGGTTCTGAGAAGAACCGGGGAATAACTCGACGTTTCGAACAGTGTACTCTGTCCGTCTTCAGGAGACTCTTATATGTTCTCAAGAGCATCATAAAAATAACAAATATTTATAAGCGCACATATCCAGCATTACTAACACTCAAGGCAAGTTTTCTTTATTACCCCTGCCCATAAACACTCCCCCCTCCCCCAAAACCTATGTTTGGGAGTTACAAGTTCTAACCACTCTGCCACTTGCCTAGGCTACGTGTCTCAACAGCAAGGGGGGCTCGTGGATTTGACTTACCGCCCAGGCTTCCTCGTCCGAGCCTGGCACCCCTCGCCACATCAGCTGCACCACTACCTCCGTCAGTGTGTCCGCCAGGGTTTCCTGGGTCCTCTCGCAAGCCCCAGACCCCTCGGGACCCTCCTCCTCCTCTCCGCCTGGTGCACCGCCGGCAGTGGGTAAAATCAGGTGGGAGGGGCGGAGGGTGGCTGTGGGAGTGGCTGAATTGAGACTACTCCTGGACGCATGGAGGGGCGAGGTTTGGCTGTCATCTAAAGTAGGACACAGTTGTAAGTTCAAAAGGGTCCGCTGCATTTTACTGAGAGTTTTTATTTCTTGACGGCCAATGTTATCTAAACATTCAAAAGTGTCGGGCAATATAAGACTATAAAAAGCATCAATATGAAAAATTCAACAGTTTCAAATACATTCTGATGTACCTATGGCTCGTTATGCAAACTTATGTAGGAGCATATTACACAAATCAGCCATCCATGTAAAATCATGACAGAAAAAAGTAGGGCCACTCGCAACATGTTTTTAATGGGGAGGGTCTATTTTTTGGCTACTTACAATCTCCGCCTGGCCAACTTCCTATCGTAAAGGAGCTATCGCTGTCTGCACCCTGTTCTTGGCCACCATCACCAGTTGCCATGGTGTCAACAAACTGCCCGAAGTTGGCATCACTGCTGACTACGGAAAGACTCTCCGAGTAGGACAGAGAGTCTGGCGTGTCTGTCTCGACGACTAGCCGGGGGACAGACTGCGACGATGTGATGTCCTCACTGTCTGCCACGCTGCTGTCATCGGCGAGGAGGTCACTGGCATCCGTGGCCTGTGAGTCGCCAGCGTCTGGCAGCACAAAGCTGGTGGCCGCCATCACCACACAGCCCGGCAGCTTTCCATTGTCGGCGTTGTCCGTCGGCAGGACACGCTGCGGAGTGGTCGGGGTGGTCGGGATGCTCGATGGCGTCAGGGCCAGGCCGTTCAAGTCCAGGCCAATGTCCGGTCCAGCAGCCGCATCCCGGACGAACAGCCGGGCCAACGTGTCCTGCCAGCCGGGCACCTTGGCCAGCTTGACCTTGGACTCTTTTTCCGTGTAGAGTATATGAAGGAGTTGGGTGCAAGCCTCCAGCTTGATGAGGGAGCTTGCACGGTGCAGCAGCTGCAGAACAGCCAGCAATCCAGCATAGTTTATGTGACCCTCTGCAGCAAGCAGAATTCAACAACCATTATTAAGCCATTTGGATCTGAGATGATTCAGACATTTACAACCAAACTGCTGGCCGTAGTGTAACTAGGGTGAATATTCCGAGGGTGCAACTGGAGAGGCTTATATTTTATCAAGGGGCAATGACAGCAAATGAACTGTGGCTTCCACATAGGTTGTGTACTTTTTGAACCCCCTCACCTACCCCTCCTTATTATGCCACGAACTGTTGGATAAGTGTGACCCAATCTGGAAAAAATGAGCTGGAACCTTGCAGAACGTCACTCAATACTGACCCTTAACCTTATTTTTCACCCACACAACATCCATTTTCATCTAGATTTCATCTTTCTCATGCAAATATGGCCTTAGGGCTCACTCTGTGGGGATCCGGTAGTGACTCATTACTGACCTGTGATCATCTCCACCATGTTCTTGGCGATGGGCATTGTAACCGGCATTTCCCCCATCAGCAGAGTCAGTCCTGAGAAACCGACGTCCATCAGCCGCATCCGGTGCTTGCTCTTCTCATACACCTTGTTAGATCTCAACATCAATGAAAACATCTTGGAAGATGGGAAAGGAAGGGAATAACAGGATCAGAATGGAAACCCATCCAACGAAATAGGGAAATCTTAGCGGTTTGGGAAATTGACTAGAGGCTAAGGAGGGACTTACTTTTACCGTGAGAAAGATTTTTGGGGGGATGAGCAAGATGTATGGTAAATTAAGTCTATGACAAGCCAACATGGCCTATCAGGCTAACCTGTGTCATAATAATAATAATAACAAGCACTTGTAAAGTGCCCTCTATCTAGCAAACTATTCCGAGACGCTGTATTATAATTATCTCTGCACATTGGGCTCACACATCATCTGAACATTCCTGAAAACATCTCAGCTCCCTAGGGAATATACTAGCCTGGTGCTGCCATTTCAACGCAAATGGCTAAATAACCATGTCTGCCCTCACAGGTACCCATTTACTCCTGGGTGGAGAGACACACATAGGGGTAAAGTGACTTGCCCAAGATCACAACATGCTGCCACCAGCTGGATTCGAACCCCTGACCCTATGATCAGAAGCTACAAGCCCTAACCACTAGGCCACATGCCTCTTCCATTTCAGTAGCATGAGATGATAAAGACTATTTGTTTCCGCCCGGATAGGATGCCAGTCCTTCTCAGGTTACTCTATAGTTAATATCAGAACCCATTCATATCCCTGAGTGGAAAGAGGCAAGCAGGGATGAAGTGACATGCCCAAGGCCGTGACCCATGGTCAGCAACTGGATCTGAACCCCCTGACCTCTGGTCCTGAGTCTGGAACTCTGAGCAGGATAATGCAACAACATGCACAGACAGGACAAGTGAACCTAATGCTGGGATTATGAGGTAAACATCGGATTTGAGACAGAGGGGATTTTATCCTGCAGATCCTGACACAGACGATTTGTCAACAAAACTGACAGCAAAGGCAACTCACCTTGAACACGCGGACCCTGAGAGTGTCAGTGTAGTCTTTCTTAGTCAAAAGTGCATAAAGCAGATCACCTTTCCCCTCCTCAAACAGCAAGAGGTACAGCTGGTCCTTGCTGGAGCTCTCAAGAAAAGTGATCAACATGTCGATGACCTCTCCAATCTATGGAGAGGAAAACAGAGGGTATCACTGATGTGTATTCCTCAACCCTGCCTCTCCAAGGTATTTTGGCTAGCTATCCTGCCACATCCTTCAATTCGCATCAACTGGCAAGAGTTACTTGCTCGCCTTGAGCAACAAGATCAAACACGTTGACTGTCCCCACGGCCAAATGGCCTGGGAATCTGTGGTCACCAGTCGTGTATGAAATCAAAGTTAATTGGACAGATATGTGGAACATCAGAAGGCAGGCTGGAAAAAAGAGGCTGGCATGTTGACACAGAGATGGAGCAAAGGGGTTGGAGCAAGATACAAGATGTCACTGTAAAGAAGTCCCAAACTTACGAGAATCTCGTCTTCGACAGCCGTGACGAAGTTGATGATTGCACTCAGCTCTTTGTGGTTGATCTGCTTGGACACATAGAAGCGGATTAGGCCCAGCAAGGAGTTGCGAATGATGCGGGAATCCTCTGCTGAAAGGTCCGTGGTGCTGGGACTGACAAACAACATCAGAGGAGAGAAAAGCTGGTGTTTAAGTCTCAACAAGCTCCTTTTTTTACCTTTAACTTGATTCAGTTTTGCAATAATGATAATGGAGACTTTGCAGGTCTGATCAGATTGATCAATGTCTGGTCAGAAACAGGCTTTGTTGACATTTCTAAGAACCAATTCTGCTGTGGACAGCTTGATGTAGGTGACACCACGAATGCTTTAACTTGTACTATTCCAAGCTTAAATGTAAAACCGTAGTCTCTGTGACTCTTTACCAAATATGAAGTTTTTTCAGAATGCATCCAAGTTTCAACAGCACAAAGCTCTAGGCCCTCTGTATAAGAAACAGTGGTTGAGTGGTACGCCTTGAAATCCAATGAAAAATTATCAAAGTAGGTGTAGGACGTTTGATAATTACACACGTCAAGTTAAAAAGCAGAAAATGCTCAACTGTGCACTGTTCAACTTTAGAACTTGAAATATTGCCCGACAGAAGCCTGACAGATACCTGTAGTAGGTCCGTATGGTGTCCAATAGGAACTGCACTCCAAAGTTTCGCCGGAACCTCTTCTTGTCATCTTTGATCATGGTGGATATGTACTGTAAGTGGCCTGAAGGTTCCAAAAGTACTTGCCATTGGTAAAATAGAATCTACAGAGGAGTATTTCTGGTAAGACCAATTTCATCAGAATCAAAAAATAAACAATGTTACGCATAGAGCTATTGAGTGAACTATGCACTTGATTACCGATTATGGGTCACTACAATATGGCATGCAACTAGAAAGTCATAAACTAAGGGAAATTTAAACCACACAGGATGAATCACTGTGTTTTTCAATTTCCAATGGCGTATATTTGAAGTAAAAACAAAGGACAAACAGCTAAATTGAGGAAACTCCTTAAACTCTGGAATCTGCACAGTTTCCAAATGTCACAATTCAAATTGAGCTAAAGTAAAGATCTGATTACGTATAATTCCTCAAATCAGAAGTGTGAACCATGAATGCTTACCAATTCTTATCTCAAAGACACTCTTGCTCCATATCCGGAAGTCAAATAAAATGTACCTGTTGAGGTGATTCAAAAGTTCAAACAGTTTAGCACTTCAGCTCAAATTTTGTAGGGCGCAATATTTAGAATTTAGAATGCACAAAACAAGAAGTATCAATAATTCTGTATTCAAACTGAGCATGTACTCAAATGAAGCGTGTCATAGTTCATTTGGGGACAATAAACACACAGTGGGCATTATGAGCAGGGCTGAAGAACCATTCATATCAATTTGTCACATTCCAGCCACAAGGGCTGATCGGGGAGCCAACAGGGGAAATGCCCCCCTCCAGATTAAAATGTTTTCTTCTTGAAAAAAATTTAAGACAGGCAATTTTTTACTTATATCCTTTGCCCTTCCAAAAGCACAAAAACAGCCCTGAAATGCAGCTTCAACCCTCAGAAAGGCTACATAAAAATTCCAAACATTTTGCCCCCCCCCACAACAAAACCAATCTTGATCCCCCCTCCCTCTCCCTGAATATTTGGTTCTGGATGGGCCCTAGTCAGGTGCAATAATTCTGATTGACCCTGCCTCGCAGAAATACTAAATTGGCTCAATCTGGACAGACATTCTTAAAGAGGACTCACCTGTATGCATGTTTCAGCAGCGACTGGTGCCCAAAGCAGACTGCTTCTACTAGATGCTTGATGGCCATCAAGACATTCACATCGATCAGCAATGAATCTACCTGAAAAGTGAAACAGAATGCCCAAATAGACAACTGTCACACAGTTGACAATAAACTATTGCTCTGCAGGGAAGCCATCAACAGACATTCAATAGTTTAGACAATCAGCACTGATGGCAAACTAAATTCTGTATTTACAACCTCACTCAAAAGTCAAGGGCTCTAATCGACCTTTTCAACACGCAGAAAAAGTAGCACGGATATACAAGTAGAGCCCAATAATTCAAGAACTCTAAATTTTCGACCAGCAAATTTGCTGGGGACAGCCAGTTGGTTTAAGTTTGATACAGACGGTACCACAATCAGTGACTGTAAAATGGACTATTCCCTAGTGCACCCTGTGGATGCAAAAAGCACAAGGGCTTTTCATTCCCCAATCAAACTTGATCAATTCATATCGAGAACCAAAGTGTGACATCATTTTGAGCCAGAAAGTGTAATGCATACGGATGACTTACGCGCACACTGGTTCTCGCGCTAATGCCTTTCACACACATGATTGCGTGCATGACGTATTCACTTTGGTACTCAATAGGATAACGCACCTTATGCACTGATATAAATACAACTGGCTTTATTTTTAACCACATCACGGCGGGGAAATTTATGAATGTTGATTCCGCTGGGACGGGATATTTTACATTTTTTTCTGTTTTCAAATTCTTTAAAAATTCATGTCTTCATTTACTGGACACTTACAAACATCTGAAGGACCGTCTGGTTTCTACTCTGACAGACAAAATCTATTGACGCCCCAGTATTTCAGCCAGGCCTGCTGCCTTGTAAAAAGAGCCCAGATTGTGTGGTGTTACGTAATTTTCTTTTGCTCACGAAACTGGCACAGTGCGCTGCTGAACTCTTTTCAATAGGGGTCATTGCTGCGGTGGTGGAGCGCTTTTGTCCCTGGTGGTAATCCACTCACATTGAATGCCCCAAACAGCGGTATACTATTTCAAAAAAGCTGGATTATCTCCACTATTGACAGTGAAAAATGTTGGTAATTCCCAGCAGCCTGGTCTTTTGTTACGAGTACGGTCTTTTTTTACAAGGCCCAGTTCTCTTTGTCCGATTTTAGAGACCTGGCTATGCATATAAAGAACACGTGCCCAAAACCGGGCTCCCGGGCAGCAAGTGGTTAAGCACTGGATCACTGAGCCTCACCTTTTGTAGGAGGGCACCAATGGTCGCTATGCCTTGTGACTTGTGTAGCATGTCCTGGTTGATGGGATGGCCAACGCACATGTTCTTGAGCAGGGCAACGAAGCCTGCCACGTGATTCTGCTCGTTTCTCAAATCTGTCAGTGCAAGAACACTATAAGACATTGTAGGAACTATGACAACTTCTGAAGTCAGATATTACAGCAGTTACCATTCTGTTCAATGGTACCGGTGTGGCGGTCTGCGCTGTCTCCCAGTCTCAGTTGTCCCCCTGAATAGCCGGACATTAACCCTCCTTCGGTTTTACAGCACAAATATGCACCAGTGCCCACAGTCACTCTTGTGCATGTATTTTCTACATGGAACACGAACATGCATACGTTCACTGTGTACACAGTTGGTTGCCAGCACAAAATGACCCAGGGTCTTTTGTGCAGTCCTCTTCATTGCATTTGGTTTACTGCACAATTATGCAAATGAAACAGTGAAGCACAGTTGCTGGGCAGCACAAACGTGCAATCTGGTATTCCTGTGAGGGACAGTTGGTGCAGTGCACAGCACAACACAGCTGTGCTTCTTTGAGGTGTTTACCAAGTCACCCAAAGAGTGACTTCTGCATAGGAGGGTTAAACTGACGACTTTCCCGTTGTGCACAGAGATGGCATGATGTATTTTACCACATTTGGTAAAGGGGACCGCTGAGACTGGGAGACAGCTGAGACCACCACACCGGAAACTCAAAAAGACCCGGTTAAGATTTAAAGTCTGTGAAAAATGATAAATCACTGCAGCGTGGGTTTTTGGTACATATGAGCTTTCAACCAGGCATGATAGGGTAACTACATACCTTTGTGAGGCAAATGATGCATGAGACAGTATTTTGTTGATATAAAGGTCCCGGTATACTTGACAGACTAAACATGAAATCATTCTTCACTGATGCTACGATTTCACCATTCTATTGTCACAAAATTCACAATACCAAAACCACGATGAACACGAAGGAGTCGGGAGGGCACAGTGGTGCTTTCCTCGCTTTTCTTCAGTCCCGGGTTCAAATCCCACCCAAGGCCGGCATCTGGAATGGGTGTTCTGTCCCTACCTGACTTCATTGGTTTTACCCAGAACATTCCAGAGTTTTTCAGCCACATCTAAAACTGTATATTTCTTCTCACTGCCTCCTCTCTACAGGTTCTAAGGCTTAAAAGTTACACTGCCTGAGACACTTCTGAGAAGTCCTTGGTTTCATTACCAGAATTGACAACTAGCAGTAATATTCAGTGTTGCTGTTGAAACCATCACAAATCATAAAAAAAACAGTGACAAGTAGCACTTGTAGTTTGTGACTTGAATTCAGACTGAACGTCTGGTGGAGTCTTGTGATGATCTCCAACAAGTCTCCACTACAATACTGGTATTTTTTACCGACCTATTTGGTCGTGTGGTATGACCTCCCACTCATCGTCACTGCTCATCTGTTTATTGACTGGCTCTCGGCTATCAACGGCATCATCATTAGCATGTGTCAGGAATGCAGGCTTGCCAGTCTCATTCTCCTGGGTCACCAGCTCCAGAAGAGGAAAAAGAACCTGGACCCCACCGATGCAATTGAGGACATCCTAGTGGCAGAACAAATTGAAAATAATATTCATGCTTTTGTATTAACGGTGCTTGCGTGGTTAGAGTTTAAGTCATCTCTGGCAAGGCTGGAAGCAGAGTGGGGTTGGGAAATATCTACCCCACCCCAATATCTCAGCTGTCACGTGTCCAATGTTCTTGGAAACTGGCCATGCACAGTCTTTTGTAATAAGCAGACCGGTGAAGATTCAGTTTGATACGACGTAGGGTTTTGTTGTTACAGTCATTCAGAGTAGGATATGGCCTCAAACATATCGGCCCACATGTATTGAGCATGCCGGGGGGAAAAGTTCCCGTGTTTGGTCACCCTCTCTTGGGAAAATAGGTATTTCCGGATGTCTGCCTTCTTTTCATAGAGTCAGTGTCAAAATAATTGGAAGCCATTCCTGAAACACTCCTGAAAAGCTAGGCACTAAAAAAATGCTCTCTAAAATCATCAGAGAAAGTGTCGAGGGTCGGGTTGCATCCAACCCCACCCCTTTTAGGGTTGAACTAAAGGAGCGACATTTTCGGCTCAGGTCCACGATAACGGACCCCGTGATGTCAACAACAGAGGCTCTGCCACTCCCTTGATGTCCTACCTTCACATCCCAGGTGTCACAGCTGTGGCCTTTGAGGCGGCCATTGTATAGGTGGGCTGGGGCTAAGTCTAGGCAAACAGGATCTCGGCAGGCCTTGCCATGGTAGTAAAGCAACAACTTACTGCTGAGATCCGAGATGTCGCTGTCATCAGACTGGAACAACGTCATGTTATTGGCACCTTAAGTGTGGTATAGAATGACCGAAGGTTAACGCGTGGGCAGCAGAAATGTTATTTTGACCCCTGAGACTGTTTCTGTGAATGAACACAAGTATATTAATGAGGCTTCCATGTGAATTTATGTTGTGACCTGCATGATAAAGGATGTGATCTGGGCTCAAACAAGGTAGTTTACACTGGCTATCAGTACTGATTCAACAAAATTTACTGTTAAGCACTGCTAAATTTTGGCCCGTTTGCCACATGTTGGAATTTTGATTTTCCCCTCTGTACCTAATGCATAGAGTTTCTTGATCTGCTGGGCCTGAAGCACGTCGTGGAAGACGCAGACGCTGCCCAGCTGGCCCTGCAGCGACCTGGGCTCCCCCCACTCCATGTCCTGCATGCCCACCGGCACCATGCCCACCGGTGACTCGGCCTCACCACCACCCCCGCCGCTGGCGCCCGAGCCACGCGACCCCGACAGCAGCTTAAAGGGGAGATGGAGGCGGGACGGGTGGAAGGAGAAGGAGGCGGAGTGGCCAGAGGCAGAGGAGGAAGAGGAGTCCTCGGCCAACTGTTGCTGGAGACTGGACAAGGCGATGGGGTAACCGATTCGGCAAGATATGAACGGCTACAGATAACAGGATACAGAAAATTTTTAAGTCACACATATATTTAAGGAACAGACCCACATTTTGCAGCTCACATTAAAGTAACTGACAAAAGTTTTGTTGCAAAGCATACGTTGATAGTTATGGGAATAAGCTCCCTGTGAAATAATTCATTCAGGCAAGTTGTCATTTTGAAGAAAGCAATAAAAGAAGGCCATTTCCAATGATGTGTATAAGGAACATTTCTGGAAATTGTATATGTGTAGTTTGTAATAATGGCGACATGTTCGCAAGCATTGACATGATGGACATGTGCACTCAGTTGCTCTAGTTGGTTGGTTCAGTGTGCAACATTGCATGGCTGCAATCATTTGAAAGAGAGTGTCTTCCAGACACTAAATTTGGGCACAATCCAACATGTGACCCTGCACTCTAACATGCTAGAGTATTGTTTTTCTCAGACTAGACGGCATTCACTGAGCTCAAACTTTACAAGGTAAGTTGTTAAGTGCTCTTCAGGTTTTGAGCACTCTGTAACCTCAAAAAAAAAATAATGCCTTAATTATAAATGCCGGACCATACCTTAAAATTACTTAAGGGCTGACTTACTGAGCAAAGTGAAGTCTGCACAAGTCTGTCCATGTTTGGGCACAAAGCCTTGGAAAACTCAAAAATTGTGTACAGCTTTTGTATGGCTTTTGCATATCTGCATATGTATTCTTAAACGATGTGTCAATAAAGTCGATATGTCAAAATCTTTAAACCCACAATCGGTAAACGAGCATTTCATTCTGCTCTTAGTAAACAACGTGAATGTCCTTGCTCAGGGCGGCATCAAAGCTTCACTGAATGGGGCATGAGAAGTCGGCGCTCTAGTAATTTATTACAGCTCTATGATTAGGTTTATAATCTCTCCTTAGTCCTCCATAGATAAGACTATTCTGCTTGTTGAAGCACATGCATGCTTTCTTTTCAATGTGATCAGCAAATTTAACACAAGTAAATCATGTTTAGAACCTTTGCTTAAACTATAAACACAATATCAGTACTGTGGAATCTCCACAAATGTGGACTCAATGTCCATCACAATTAGCTCTGGTTCAACTTACCTCCGAAATGATGGGGAACTTGAGCTGTGACACAAGACGCTGATGGCCATCCACATAGATGCAGAGCTGACTCTGGCTGAATGGTCGCCTTGACGACATGTGCGTGACGTCCACACAGTGCTAAAGGGGTGAGAGGGTAAGCAGGAGAAAGACGTTTCATAAGTGCATTTGAAATTGAAATTAAACCAAAGTGAAATGTAACTTGCCACTTAGCCTGGGTTGTTTTCTTCCTTGCAGAATATATTGTAATTCTTATCTCATTCA